TGGGCATCAACTACCAGCCCCCCACCGTCGTCCCCGGAGGGGACCTGGCCAAGGTGCAGCGGGCCGTGTGCATGCTGAGCAACACCACCGCCATTGCCGAGGCCTGGGCCCGCCTGGACCATAAGTTCGACCTCATGTATGCAAAGCGAGCCTTTGTGCACTGGTACGTGGGGGAAGGCATGGAGGAAGGGGAGTTCTCCGAGGCCCGGGAGGACCTGGCAGCTCTGGAGAAAGATTATGAAGAGGTGGGCGTGGATTCCGTGGAAGCAGAGGCTGAAGAAGGGGAAGAATACTGAATGAGTGCATCTGGCAACCATCCCTTTTATCACCCCCATTATAACATTACAAGATATGTTTACCTATTAAAGTTTCTGTATTGAAGCATCGTGTCCCTTGTGCTGCACTTTTGACATTTGACATAATTCACAATTTAGATACCTGCCTTTTCCAAGTGGATTTCCAGGGGACAAAACATGTTTCCTCTCAAAAAATTAAGCCTGTCTGTATGTTTAGTTAACGCTTTAACCCTAGAAAGAAGGCTTCAAAAGGCATGGCTGAAGGAACTAGGAAGAATGCTTTGGTTACTTTAAGTTTAAGCATTTCTTAAATCCTTCACCCATTCTTGATGTTCTTTGGAGAAACGGAATAGTAATTTGGTTTTCTTCTAAGTCGTGGAGAGGCCACTTTCCCCCAGTCTTGTAGGAGGGTCCGGAGAGGCAGCCCCGCCCGAGGGCACTCATTGACTGAAGCTCCCATTCCTTGAAGGCTTTTGATTTTACCTCTAACTTAGCCGCGTGCCTGTCAGAAAGGACCGGGCCTTCTGCCCATCACATTTCCCCGAATTGTGATCCGTGGCCACCGCCCACCCATCCCATTATAGGCTCCTCTCACGGAGTAAGCTATGAGGACTGGGTTTCCTCAGGTTATATTGATCACGCATCGTGGCCTCTTTTTCTTCTAGTTGCGAGTTTCCTTTCTTGCAGTCTAGCCTTCCCCGGGCGGCCAGCATCGATCCCGGGACCCTGCCGGTTTCCCGCTGCCGCGCCGCCTGGACTCTGCGCCGACAAGCGGGGAGCCGCTCTTTCGGTACCGAGGCGTTAACGGCCAAGAGTTTGCTCTGAAAAGACAAAGAGCCCGGGTGTGCAACAGCGCAGGCGCCCAAGGAGGGTGGGGCGACGCAGACCCGGCGGCGACCTTACGCTCCCGCCGCTTCCGGGTCCCGCCCCGACTCGTCCCGCCTCTGGAGCGAGCGCCTAGCGCTTCCGAGTCTATGGTATCAACTTCCACCGCGCGCCGCTCCTCGCGAGACTTTGGCGGCGCAGCAATGGCGAGATCGTGAGTGCCGCTGACGGGAGTCAGGAGAACGGGCTGGGACGGGGCTCGGGCGAGATCGGGCCGGGGGAGACCCGACAGGCCTGGGCCGCCAGGAGCGGATCGGCGGCTGGGGGCGCGAGGCCCCTCCGGGCCTGGACAGCCGCCCACGACCAAGCTCCCGCCTCTTCCCCAGATGCCGCGTCACTGCTCCGCCGCCGGCTGCTGCACAAGGGACACGCGCGAGACGCGCAACCGCGGCATCTCTTTCCACAGGTCAGCGCGCGTGCGTGCTGGCATGCGAAGGTTCACGTGCTCAGGCACTGGTTTTACCCTCTTCGTGGAGCTAGAGTTGCGCATGCGCTTTCCTCTGGTTGGCGCGTTGCTTGTATTTGTATAGGAGGGAAAGGGGCGGTGCGGGTGCGACCGAGTCTAAATAGGAGAGGAAGCGTGGGACCTCTACCAGCCTGCGGCTCTCTCTCTGACTCTCACCTGCCAGGTGATACTAAGGAAGTTGCTTTCCGTGAGGCCCCAGTTTCCTCACCTGGGCCTTGGTGGGCGATGTTTACCTGGCAGGGTTGAAGGGCGGTCCGATGGGGGTTTGTGCATGACCAGCCCTTGGCGTCTGGAGAGCTTGAGCAGCTTGAGCCCCGGGCTGCAGACACTCTGGTGCTTACTGGTTTGTGGCTCCGCAGACTTCCCAAGAAGGACAACCCGAGGCGAGGCTTGTGGCTGGCCAACTGCCAGCGGCTGGACCCCAGCGGCCAGGGCCTGTGGGACCCGGCTTCCGAGTACATCTACTTCTGCTCCAAGCACTTCGAGGAGAACTGCTTTGAGCTGGTGGGAATCAGGTGAGCCTCTGTGGCAGCAGTCACCGGGGCGGCTTAGAGGCATCAGAGTAGCCGGCCCATCGGGGCAGCCTGTACGGCCACTGGCTGGTTCTGCGTGTGCCTGCCTCTTCCCAGCTTTGCACCTCAGTGACAGTAAGGCCCACCCCCTCAGGATCACTGAGCCAGTGACAGGAGAGAGAAACATTAGCTTTTTCAAAGGCTGTTCCATAGAACCCTAGTCCTCCCAGCAAATCCACAATGAAATTTTTTGGCTGGTTGGCCTAGTTCTAGTCTTTTTATGCATCTAATTTTGAAGCGCCCTGCAGAGAAGATTGGTATAATTCTACCTAATGTGGCAGGCCCTAAACTAAGTGTTGGCAACATGCCTCCCCACCTCCCACGGTGCCATGGTGTTAGCACGGGAGAGCCTGATCTGGGGGTGCTGGGAGCATGGTAGCTCTGTGCCCTGCAACCTGCCCTGGGGGCCAGTGCTTATTGTCTACCTCATCCAGGCTGTTTTTCCCCACAGCGGGTATCACAGGCTGAAGGAGGGGGCAGTTCCCACAATATTTGAGTCTTTCTCCAAGTTACGCCGGACAACCAAGACCAAGGGGCACAGTTACCCACCCGGCCCCCCCGACGTCAGCCGGCTCCGGCGATGCAGGAAGCGGTATGTGCCATGGGTGGAGGGTGCCCCACTCCCACCCCAAGCCTCAGAGACTGGGCTTTAGAGTGTGTGCCAGCAGTCTTGCTGGACAAGGTTCTAAACTAGTGAAGTAGACTAGGGCGGGCAGGTGAAGTGGAATCTGGCAAGGCTTTGGCCTGGCTTATTAGCGTCTCTCTCTCTCTCTCCCTCTCCTCTCAGCTGTTCTGAGGGCCGTGGGCCCACAACTCCATTTTCTCCACCGCCACCTGCTGACGTTGCCTGCTTTCCTGTGGAAGAGGCCTCAGCACCTGCTGCTTTGCCTGCCTCCCCCACTGGGAGGCTGGAGGCTGGCCTCAGCAGCCCCTTCTCAGACCTCTTGGGGCCCCTGGGTGCCCAGGCGGATGAAGCAGGCTGCAGTGCCCAGCCCTCGCCGGAGCCCGAGCGGCAGCCATCCCCCCTTGAGCCACGGCCCGTCTCCCCCTCAGCCTACATGCTTCGCCTCCCGCCCCCAGCCGGAGCCTATATCCAGAATGAGCACAGCTACCAGGTGGGCAGTGCCCTGCTCTGGAAACGGCGGGCTGAGGCCGCACTCGATGCCCTGGACAAGGCCCAACGGCAGCTGCAGGCTTGCAAGCGGCGAGAGCAACGGCTGCGGCTGCGGCTGAGCAAGCTGCAGCAGGAGCGGGCACGGGAGAAGCGGGCACAGGCAGATGCCCGCCAGACTCTGAAGGAGCACGTGCAGGACTTTGCCATGCAGCTGAGCAACAGCATGGCTTAAGCAAGGGGCTGCTGGCCCCTGGGCTGACTTGAGAGGCTGCCTCTTAGGGCTTCAACCTCTTCCTCCCTTGGAATCCACCTGGAGAGGGACCTGATCTGAGCTGTGTCCACCAGACCTGCCAGATGCCATAATAAAGTGGATTCTAGGAGTCCCTGCTATCTGGCTCAGCTAGGGGCTGAGGCCCGTCCCCTAGAGTCCAGGCTCTCAGCGGTGGAGAGCAGAAAATCCAGCTCTTGCACACCCCACCTCATGCAACTCCAGGCCCCACAGGGTTTCCTGACAGGCTGGTGTGAGTAGAGGCCAGGAGCAGCGCCAGGCACCCTCACCTTAGTACCTGAAACAGCCCAGACTTAAGTAGTCTGGTCCCTTTGAAAACATTCATGAAACCCAGGCCAGAATCCCATTTCTTTACAAGGACACCTGCATGGCTTTTGTCCATTAGTCTAGCCTGCCCAGCAGTCAGTAGGGTACAGCACCTGAATCCCAGCCTGCAGACTGGCCGCTCACACTGGGCCTGGCTCATCTGTAAGCTGGACAAAGATGGCAATTTCTGACCTAGTGCTACTATGATTGGCAAGTAGTAAGGGCCTAGCAAGGGACACTTCTAGTCCCCAGAGGCCTGAGAAGAGATGGGGAAAACTTGGAGGCAGGCATGAGGACAGCAATCGTGGCCTCTGCTGGAGTCCCCATTTTTCTTCAAGTTGACTGGAAAGTAGGCTTCCCTGAATCTGTGCTTGTGGCAAACAGGTCAGTGTGCAGGATGATTTTAACTGCACACACGACCTCCCTGCTGGTCCCGGATCCAATAGCCGCAAGAGCATAGCCAGGTTTTCTCTAGTCCTGGGAAGTGCCACACAATGCTGTGAGACTGGCTTTCTAGGGTCCTTGGTGTGTAACTTCATTTATTCATATCAGGTCTAGAAAAAGTCAAATGACCAGTTACAAGGGTCCACTGTAAAGCACGGTTTGCAGTTGTTCACCAAGGTTTCCAGGGTCACCAAGGCTCGTCTTGTGCCAGGCCATTTCCTAGCCTGCTGGCAGCCTTACAGCTGCCCCTGGAACCGGGGCTCCCTGTCCATCTGTACACAGCACTGGGGCTCTCCAGCAAGGGCCAAGGAATGGCAAGTGCCATGTCTGCATGGGGGCACAACTGGAGGGAGGAAACATGAGGGACTGTTTTCCCCTTAAGTGGCTTCCTGGCAACCAGGGCAGAAGTGCCCATTATATTAGGGTGGGCTCACACAGGGCCTTCCGTTGGGCGGGAGAGGATGTGGTGCCCAATCCCAGCCCGGGCAGGGCCCTCCAGTGCAGTGCAGGAGCGGGACAGCCTTGGGACTCCAGGATTTCTGCCACAGCCCCTCTCCCCTCCCTGCCCCGTATCACTGGGTAACCCTACATGGGGCTGGGAGTTGCTGACATGGATAGAGGACTGGACAGGACTGGCCCGTCTCAAGCACTTGGGTCACATGGTCCATCTTCAGCTCAGGGAGGCTGAAGGCCTGAGTCCACCAGTGGGGACTGTGCCCATCAGGTCCAATAGGTAGCACTACTATAGTCTTAATGGCATGTCTATGACACAGAATAAATACTTGGGGACAGAGACCTGGGGGGCACCTTCACGGACTTCTCCTGGTGCAGTTGGGGACCCCCAATGTGTGCACAGTGGGATAGGATCCTGCGGCCCCTCTGGAAGCCAAGGCCCAGTCCCACATCAGGGCCCTTCACACCCCAAAATCCATCCTGAATCGTATTTCATCTGCCCATTACTGTGGTCCACCCACAAGCTCTGGGTGACAGTAGGGGCCCTTACAACAACCCTAGTGAAGATGAGGGGCTACTATGTAGCCCCATATCTGAGGGGTCTCAGGGCAGTAGGATCCAGTGGCCAGACCCACAGCCATACACAGTCCCTGCTGGATGGGCAGCCCCAAACCAGCTCCGTGGTGGACTCTCCCCACTGCTGGGCCCTGCTTCCCACCCGCACCAAGTGAGGAGAGGGTGCCAGCCAGGGAGCTTGTTTAACCATCCACTCCCTGTGGGATCTGTGTCCTTGGCAGTAAAATGGGGCATTCAGAGCCCCCTATGTCCACTTTCCCTCCAGAGGCTCTGGACACCCTGCCCCATGGCTGATGGGTCCAGCCACTCCGCCTGAGGCCTGAGCGTGGCCAGTGTAGTCTTCAGCAGGCAAGGCAGGAGCAGGCATGGTTATTCTTGAGCAGGCCAGCATCGCGCGGGCCCTTATATGTCAGCGCCCAGCTCTGCACACTGTTTGTCGGAGATGTGGGAGGCCAGGGAGTCTATGATGTCGAGAAGCAGCTGTTGGCTCAGCGAACGCAGTGTGGGCAGCTTGGATACCTGCAGGAGGCAACCAAAAGACCCAAACAGGATGGAACCGGATTCACATAAGGGCCAGAGTCTTCTGGGAGCTCAGCCAAGCTAGGGCACAGGCTGACTCCAAAAGGCCAGTTGTTGGGTACTCTGCTTGGCTAACTCCAGGGACCACTGCTGCAGGAGATGAGCAGATTCCACGCACCCCACCCCACACTGGGCCAAGGCGAATGCGAAGAAAGTGGGTCCTAAAGATGGGTGGGTGCTGAATGCTGGGCTGGGAGGGCCCTGACCTTGGTGAACTGGTGCACGATGATGTGCAGGCAATGGCGCTTCATGTCCAGTGCTTGCGTCTTGTCGGCCGCTTCCAGGATCTGGAATGGCAGGTTCCTTGAGGTGCTGCTCCATCTCTCACCCACCCGCCCAGATTCAGGGAGGCCCGCAGGCACCCGGTGAGCTACCTGCAGTACATTCTGTACCGTCACGTTCATCTCCAGGTTCTGCTTGCAGTACGCCTGCAGCCGGTTGTTGTAGAAACCATAATAGTAGGGAGCCGCAAACAGGTAGCTGGGGGCTGGTTAAGGAGCTTCCAGCCAAAGGAGCTCGTCCTCCCGCCCCTGTGCATCTCCCCTGGAAGGGGGCAGCTGGAGCCCCGCGCACCCCAGGGGCAGAGGAAGCCTGAGACTGTGGCTGCCTCCTCCTACATGCTCAGAACAGGGAAACTCACCCCCCATACAAGGGACCAGCATAGGGCTCCAATCCAGGCAGGACACTGACTTGCTCTCTACACGGACTCTGAAGTACTTAGGGGGCCAAAGGCCCTATTCAAGATCCAAAGAAAACCTGGAAATCCTCTCCCAGGAAAATGCCCACATGCACATTTGCAGAACTAACTGTGGCCTCACAGAGCCCTGAAAGGCATCTTGAACCCACGTGCAGGCCCCCATGAAGTGATGTGACCAGGAACCACTCCATGGTGACCGCAGCAATCTACTTACCTGTAACCCAGGACCACTTTCTGCGGGCAGTTGTGAGGGTCAAGAACCCACCCATCCCACCCGGCCGCACACCTCTCTGTGTCTGCTGGCCAACTGCTTCAGGGAACCCTAGGAGAGCACTAGGTACCAGGAAATCCTCAGGAAAATGCTTGGCCAGAACCAACCCACGGGGCTCCAAAGGTGCCTAAGTTGGGGACTCGGACCTCCAGAGGTGACCTGGGAGTGCCCATGGCAGGGAGGATGCAGAGAGTCCTCGGGTGGCATGTTGACCTCGCCGTAGTAGATGTAGCGCAGCATGGACTCAAAGGCCTGCCTGCTGGGCACCATCTCCCCGATGGAGATGTTCACCTGCCCGTCTTCAGGCATGAAGGACCGGAACATGGCCTCAAAGTAGCTGTAGACAGGGGCATTAGGGTCCTGGCTCTCGGCAAACAGAGGCTGTGCCCAGGACTGCCCTGCCCTGCAGCCATACCCCCACCCACCTGGAGCGGGCGGCCAGGATGGCCTTGTGGGCCGGTCTTGGGTGCCCATCCAGCAACAGAGTGATGTCACAGAACTCCGCGCCTGCCCCCTCCAGGTATGCCTTCATGTCCTGGATCAGAGACGTGCCTGGTGGGGAGGGCAGGGGATGGTGTAGAGGGACCCCGAGCAGATGCCTCCTGCCCCTCTGCAGACTCCCCGGTTTCAGGCCTCAGGGCCCCACGCACTGCTTCCTGTATATCTGCCCATGCTGCTGCCCTGAACAAACCTCTCCCGGGCCGCAAGCCCCGCTCTGGCCCTTGAGGCACTAACACGTCCTGTTACCTTCTCCCCTCAGCCCCAAACATGGCCCTCAGGCCTGCCCGACCCACAGAGTCTGATCTCCTCAACTCAGCCCAGTGAGCCTTCCTCCCTACCCTTATGCTTGAGCCTCCTCTGGGTCTGGCAAGCACTGTGTCACCCAGGGCCAATGGCCAGATGCAGCACAGACCCCAGGGAGAGTGAGGGGACAAAGGAGACTGTGATGTCCCTCCCCAGGCTAGGAGGGCACAGGGAGCTACCAGGAATGTTTGAAGTCTTTGGACTGAGCTTACCTCTCACTAGGCCCCAAAGGGTGGGCGCGCCTAGAAAAAAAGCTTGTGACTAGTCACTGACCCTGAGCACACTGCCCCCAACGGAAGCTCTCAGACCTGATGTCTGTCAGGGCAGGTGCCCTCACTAGAGAGGGACCCGTGCCCACCTCCGGAAACAGGCTCCGGAGATTCTCTGCCCTCAGGCGCACAGCTGTGTTGGGATGCCCCATGGGTCAGGGGCTCTTCCTTCCAACGAGCCTGACCTGCCACCCTGTCTGCCCATGCAGGAGCCCCAGGAGCACTCTGGGCACTCCCTGCACCCACACCCCGCCCTGAGGGCCTGGCAGGTACTTCCATGGCTCCCAAGTCTCACCCAAGGTGAACACCATCCCTGTCTGCTGCCCTCGGGGATGGGGACTGGATCCCTACCAATGTCCACAGGCTGCTCTGAGGGGGCGCGGGGAGGCGGCTGCTGCTTCCGCCGCACGATCTCCACGATCAGTGGGGAAGAGAGGCGTTCGAACTCCTTCATCATGATCACCTGATTGAAGTGGGACTCCTTCACCACGAAGTTCAGGCAGTGCTCCTGGGACACACAAGCCGGAGCAGGCAAGCAGGGTCAGGCCTTGGCCGATGGGGCAGCAGCCTAGGCAGGAGGACTTGGGCTGGGGCAGGGGACAGGGGGCTTGTGGCGGGGGTCGGGAGCCCGGGTGGGGGTTTGGCAGCGGGGTATCAAGGGGCCTGTGGTGGGAGTCGGCAGCCTGGGGTGCAGGTTGGTGGCAGGGCGGTGGGGGTCAGCAGCCCGGGGGTGGGGTTGGCAGCAGGGGACGGGGGCCTGTGGGAGGCAGGGTGCGCCATGCACACGGGCCCGCACCTTCAGCTGGCTCAGCTGCAGCCTGGCGGCGCTCTCGCACACGACCAGCACGTTCTGCAGGTCTACAGAGGCCTCGATATACTGTCGGCACAGCTGCTCCAGGCGGCACAGCTGGAAGCTCAGTGCCAACTTGTATACGTCCATGATGAGCAGCACGTCCTCCACGTGGCCTGCACCCAAGAGCTCCCTCAGAGACATGGGGAGAGGGAGAAGGTGTGGGGCAGGGTAGAGGGGAGGCCAGGGTCCAGGGTCCTGGGTCCAGGTCATCAGGTAGCATCTCCACCACACCAGTGGTCGTGAGTGGTGGTGGCCGCTGGGCCCCAGGCTGCCCGCCTGTCCACCCTGTTCCCACCACCAGCGCACCTTTCCGAGGGTACTTGATCTTGTCCGTGTAGAGGAACTGCATGAGCACTTCAAAGGGCCGGGCCTCGGCCTCGCGGATGGCCACGTGCAGCAGGGGCGGCCGGGCCCCACCCACAGCTGCACCAGGGGCCTCCCTGGAAGCTGGGGCTGCCTCCTCCTCCAGCTTCTGCAGGGAGAGAAAGGGGAGCTCAGGGGCACCCCACGGATGCCACAGTCCTGGCAGAAGAGACTGGACAGCACCTCACCTGGGCCAGCCGTTCCCGCGCCTGCACAATCTTCCTGCGCAGCCAGCGGCTCCGAGCGGTGACAATGGCCACGTGGCCCTGCACACACTCCTCCTTCTGTAGCAAGAATGACACCTTGGTGGGGAGCAAAGGACCCCCATCCTGGCAGGGACAGAGGCCCAGACAGCCAGGGTGAGGGCTCTAGGACTCCAGGCACAAGGGGGAGGCCAGCCGTGCCTCAGGGCACAGCCTCCTTTCTGCAGCACAGGGGGTAGACTGGGCACAGGGAGGGCACCCACCTCGCCCAACACAAACTCCACGTCACAGAACTGGCGGCTCTCCCACAGCCTCCCGTAGTCCTCATGCAGCGTGCACTTGGGGTAACAAGAGAACTGCGGGAAGAGACCCAGTGTTACCCAGGGACGCCACCACTGGCCCAGGCTCTGCCCCCTCTAGGCCACACATGCCCCGCCCAGCTCACCCAGCTCCCTCCACTGGCCTGAGACTGCTCCCCCAGCCTCCACTGGCCCCACTGAGAGCCCCCAATGCTGCCCTGCCCACCGCACCCTGCACGGAGGCTCCCCAGACTGCCCTCGGCCTAGAGTTCCCCACCCTGTCTCCCAGACTCCTCAGGAGGAAGGCTGCCATGCCACCAGTGCCCTGGCTCTGGTGCCCTTGGACAAGCCCCACCCCTACCCCCTGGGCCTCAGTTTCCATCCTCTGGGACCCCTGGCTGGCTCCCCTGCAGTCGGTCCCCGAGCCCCACCTGGAACCTGTACATCTCCCCACTGCGGATGTTGTTGTCCACGGTGCCCCCGAAGATGTACATGGCATCTGAGATCACAGCAGCTGCGTGGAAGAGCCTTCCGCTTGGCAGCTGGGTGGAGGTGGGGGGTGGGGGGAAGATAAGTAACCCTAACAAGTACTTCTCTGAGCCTCATCTCCCTATCTGTGAGAGAGGCTGACCACACGACTGGCATCGGGGGGGGGGGTGATGGAGAGGAGCGAGGGTGCCAACCCTCACCTCTGAGGCCGGCGGGGCAGGCTGCTTGGCTGTGGTGGTGCCAAAGTCCAGGCCAAACACATCTCGGGACTTCTTGAAGCCACCCCGCTCCTCAGAGGCCAGGCCAGGCACCTCCTCAGAAGCAGATGCTCGCTCTGGCACCTCAGCCCCGCCAACCTGGAGGGGAGAGACATGCAGGCGTGGGACCAGTCGGCCAGGGCCAGGCAAGGCACCAGAGACCAGCCTCCTGCTGACCCTGTTCAAGAGTGAGAGCGCTGTAGGGACAGATTTAGGAGGGGGAAGAGCCACAGGATGAGGGCGCTCACAGCATGGCTGAGAGGGAGAGCCAGCAGCAGTCAGGGTGGGCGTCCTGGGAGAGCGTCCTCAGCACCATGCAGATATGAGGGGAACTGAAATGTTAAAAGCCTGCAGGCTGCAAGATGGAGAACAGGGGCCCAGGGCCTAGGGTCCGGCCAAGGCATGTGTCCAAGGCTGAGGGCCTCAGACATCTTGGCTTTGCTCCTGCTGGCCATCTAGAGCCCTGGGAGCCGTCTGAGGCTTAGAGGAGCGGCTGGGTGGTGGGAAGAGGCGAATCAGGATTCCCATCCCTCAGGCCACGAGCCCTGGGCACCTCTGGCCGCCTGTGCCTGGCAGCACTCACCTCACTGTCCGAGCTGGGCTGGACAACCTCCCAGGTCTGGAAGTCCACATCATAGCAGTGCAGCTCATTGGGCAGCGTGTTGTCTGCCGCGCCCCCAAACACGTAGAGGTGGCGGTCAAAGGCCACCATAGTGTGCCCATAGCGCCGCTGTGGGGGTGGTGGGGAGCCACGGAGTAGGTGCTCGGTGGGGATGCGTGTCCACCTAAGGGCACATGACAGGACACTAGTGCCGGAGCGGGAGCTCCTGCTCCTCCAGAGCCTCCACCTGGGTTCTGAGGCCTCCCCATGGCAGGCGCCAGCTGGGAAGTGCCCTGCAGCCCCTGGGGGGACCATCCAGGTCAAGGGAGGGCTTGAAGTGCATGCCCTTATCCCCTTTGGCTCTGGCACCAGCTCTGCCTAGGTCTACTCAGCACACCGTGGGGTCCTGCCCGAGTCCTTCTCTGTCCCCCAGCCATAAAGCAGGCAGCAGTGGCAGGCAGGAGGAGTGGCCTCTGAATGCGAGGCAATCCCACTCTCTGGGGAATGGGGACATGTCCACAACTCCATCATGTAAGATGATCCCTACAGCCACGTCCTCACTCCTGGAAGCCACCAGGACCCCACCTCCCAATGCTGCTCCCACATTCCCTACCCTCCCAGGACTCCCCAACAGCTTCCAGCACATCCTCTTTGGAATCCAAACAGATCCTGGCCAGGCGGGGCCATGCCACCTGACTCCATGCTGACCCCTTCACCTGACACATGCTTGGCTCGACAGGTGCCCCTGCTGTGGGGAGGCTGTCCAGCAGGCAGGAGAACTGCCTTGGCAAAGCCCTTCTCCAGGTGGCAGGGGTCCCGAATGCCCATCTGGGGATGGGGTGGGGCAGAGGTGCTCTGTAAGGACCCCAGGGCTAAGGGCCCCACACCAGCAGCCCTCTGTGCCCCCATGGGGGATGGCACCTGTGTGATGCCCACACCATAGGATCTGCCCACCTATGCACAGCATAAAGGCTGGGGAGTGTCTGTTCTCACCTCTGTGTGTGCGGGAGCAAAGGGCACAGGCATGACGCTGGGCAGGTGGCTGGCTGGGAGCAGGCCAGCCCAAGGGAGGAGAGGAAGGCAGCACCACACTGACTCCACCCCGTGGGACTCCTCTGCCGCCAGCAGCCCCCAGGGTCTCCTAACACCCGCCCTGGGCTGCTGCTGGTGGCCACACCTCCCCTGGTTTTCTTCCAATCCCCATCTGCTCTGGCCCAAGCTGCAGCTCTGCCCCCCATCTCTGGCCTGGGTCCCCCACCGCACCTCTGCCACCCCCAATGCACCTTCCTCAGCCCCCGCACCCCTGAGCAGCCTTCAGGCCCTGCGTCTCCTCCAATACCTGCACCTCCTTGAGCACCCTTCCCAGGTGAGCCATCTGTCCACCGGTCCAGAGCCTGCATGTCTGCCCTTCAATCTCTCCCCACATCTGAGCCTACCTGGCCTCTGCTTCCACTGCCTCTCACCTCTCCGAGTCTGTTCCTGCTGCTGTGGGCACTGAGGCCAGGAGGGAGAGGCAGGCTGGGCAGTGTGGCTCTCCTCTCAGGCCCAGCCACCCTCACGAGAGCCACAAAAGAGTTGCGTGGGTATCAGCTGGATTCCCTCTGCCTCTGATGCTTTGACCTTCCTCCTTCCAACCTGACACTGCTGGCCTCCAGGGCCGCTCCATGTTCCCCCCCACCCCACGCCCACCCCGAGCCTCCCTGACCTGCAGGAGAAGCTCCCTGTTCCCTCCCCTCCATTCACCCCCAGAGCCAAAGCCCGGTCTGCGCCATCTCCAGGGCTCAGTCCCCTTCTGAGCTGGTCACCAGCCAAGGATGGCACAGGCTGGAAGCTCTCAGGGCGTGAGCACCCCTCCAGTGTTCTGCCATTGTTATGAGATCTATACCAGCCACATTTATTACTGGTGGTACTGATCAGGCATTTGCGGGGCAGGAGCCGTCCTTCACACAGGACAGAGAGAAAGGCCAGCCAAGCCCCATCTTGCTGAGCTGCAGCCACACCCCGAGGGGCCTGCTTGCGCAGTCTGTATGAAGGCATCTGCGCCTCCTTGCTCTGGAAGGGTAGCTTGACCTGCTGTGTCCGGATCTCATGGAGAGAGCCCCAGACACAGATGTGGGTGCCACCACCAGAACACTCACGTCTTGTCCTTGAATTCAAACTGGAAGAGGTTGTTGGTAATCTTGGCTCCGCTCTGCCCTGAGAACACAAACATCTTGTCCCGGCACACGGCCACCGGGAAGTTGCAGCAAGATGGTGGGATCTCGCCGCTCTGCGCCACCTGGGGAAGGGAAGGCAGCTCAGCCTGAGCCCTCATGGGACTGGGTTCACAGGGTCAAGACTTACACTGCTGAACTGGGAGTACTTTCACTCTTCTATGAATGAGGGTTCATAGATTAAGTTCTGTAGTACAGCTTAACGGCCCACCTCATCCACCTAAACGGGCCCAGTTTTTAACACTTGGGGCTAAAACTCATCACCACAGGGGAAAGAGACCCCAGGGGAAAGAATGGAACAGAGAGACAGACTGCCCAGAAACAGCAGCGAGCCGGACACCAGACAGCATGCTGAACTCGCTGTGTTCAGATAAGGGTGGAGTCTACGCAAGCAGCACCAGTCACTGGGACACACTGCCATCTGAAGCACAGAGGATTCAGTCACTAGTTAAGTGCTGCTGAAATTGGGCAGGAAGTCGGCAGGGAGGGTGAGGCTGAGGACAGGCTAGGATTTGGCAAAGGGAAAAAAGCAGCCCCTCCCCCGCCCCACCTATGCCCTCCCCCATTGTCCCTCTTCTCCCTGCCTGCCCCATCTCCCCAGTCCCCCAAACCCCTCACCTCCTCCCAGCATGTGAGCTCCCGGTCCTGGAGGCCAATGGTCCACATGTCGTTCAACCTGCATTAGGACAGAGGGGTCAGATCTCCACAGCTGGGGCTGCTGGCAGAGTGGGCCTGGCTGGGAGGGATGGCTCCAGGGAGGAGGGACACAACACCCAGGACTCTGATCAGGGGGCCTATGGAGTAGCCATGAGGTGGGAGCTTCAGGATTGGGGGGAAGGGGGGCTGCACTGAATCCCTGCTGTGTACCCCCCCCACCCCCAAGCCCAGACAGGAACATGTGGCCTTAGGCACATCTAGCCAGTGTGGCAGGGTCAGTCCCACTTGGCAGACCCTCAGGGCTCAGAGAGGACTTCAGAGAAACAACACATGCAAAAACCACCACTAACACTGCATCTCTTAGAGAGTTTTTTTCTTTTCCTCAAAATAACTTTTTTTTTTTTTTTAGTGATCTCTACACCCAACCTGGCACTCAAACTTGACCCCGAGATAGAGAGTCACACGCTCTTCTGACTGAGCCAGGCAGGCACCCCACCTCTTGGAATTTCTATGATGCTGAAGTCTTGGGGAATGAGCACATGCTACTTTTGTAATCAGAAAAATACAGCAAAGGCAATTTTCTGAAATAAGGAGCAAGATGCCTGGTACGCAGGCAAGAAGCAGTGGAGACCATCCCATCCTCAGACAGCAGCACAAAAATGGGCCAGACTTGCCACTTCCTCAGACACCTCCAGGAGGGGCCTCAGGGGTGCCAGGCCTCCTGACCTCTGTGGGGTTGCGCAGGAGCTCCGCTCAGTTGCCCCTCACCTCCATTCCACCCATCTACTTCCCCTCACTCCATTTTGTTTTTAGTTTATCTATTTTGAAAGAGTGAGGACGTGCCCCTGCACGCGTGTGTGCACGTGTGCGAACGTGCCACACGAGTGGGGGAGGAGCAGAAAGAAAGGGAGAGGGGAAACCCAAGTAGACTTGATCTACTGACAATGAGATCATGACCTGGGCCGAAGTCAAGTCAGATGCTTAACCGACTGAGTCACCCAGGCACCTCCCCTCCCCCGCTTCTGTCCACAACACTACCCTCTTTAGAAACCCCCAGCCTGAGGGGCGCCTGGGTGGCTCAGTCAGTTAAGCATCCAACTTCAGCTCAGGTCATGATCTCACAGTTCGTGGGTTCGAGCCCTGTGTCGGGTTCTGTGCTGGCAGCTAGCTCAGAGCCTGGAGCCTGTTTCAGATTCTGTGTCTCCCTCTCTCTCTGACCCTCCCCTGCTCACGCTGTCTCTCTCTGTCTCTCTGTCTCAGAAATAAATAAAACATTAAAAAATTAAAAAAAAAAAAAAAAGAAACCCCCAGCCTGAGCCCTCCCATGCCACGACTCCCATGCCATGAAGGCCAGCTCTGGGCCTCGGTACACTTACAGAGCTGCTCAGGGGCTGGGTGCACGGGCTTGGCATCACCTACCTGGCATTGCCATCATAGCCAGCAAAGATCCACAGCTTGTCACTGTACACTGTGGCGCCATGGGCGGACCTAGCGACTGGCAACCTGTAGTGTGAAAAGGGGGTGAGGAGCAAGGCAGCCCAGCAGACCTGAGCCTCGTGGGCCCTTGAGGCCAGCCGGGACACCAAGGCCACTGTGCCTACATTTGCTGACACCGGGGCTCTGGGATGCCAGCTGGGTGTCATGAGGCTGAGCTCATGAGGCAGGGCAGTGGGATAAGGAACTCAGATAACGGCACGGTAAAGCCCTCTCCCAGCCACCACCAAAATATCAAAGGAGGATGCTTGCAAAACAGGAGAGAAGCGCCCATCAGCTGAACATCAGGGTCCCTTCTGCTCTCTGAAAGGAGAGAATCTAAGAGCAGGGCAGGAGCCTCAGACAGGCACAGCTGGGAATGAGCCGAATTCAGGACTCTGTGAGCCTCAGGCTCTTCTTCTATACAGGGACTGTATCCCAGGCCAGCTGCCACCAGGGACCCAATCCGGTAGCCATCTGGTCAACCCTGAAAGTTTTCAGCAAAGTCTCTCACCGTCCTTCAATTTTCCACTCGGTCCACTGGCCAGTCGCAAACTTATATTCAAAGAGGTCGTTTTTATTCTTCAAGTTAGAATTGGAATAAATGTCCCCAGTGTAGCCCCCTGGGAAAGAGAGGGAGAAACTGTCACACCCAAAGGCAAACCCCAGAAAGTGAGGGCAGAATCTGGCCTCACTTAAGATGTATTCTGGGACTCCCTCCATAAACTTTGGGGAGCACCTACTGTGTGTCTGACTCTGTGCTTGGCTCCGGGGACACAGAAATGAACAGAACCCTATTCCCTGCCCTCTGGTGGAGTGACAAAGGAGGGAAGAGAGCCACCTTCCAGCCCAGTCACAGAGGCAGACAATTCTAAACCTGGGAAATTGGGACAGTTAAGGAAAGGGGCCCACAGAGAGGACCCCGGCCCAGTGCAGGAACTCAGGACTCAGGCAGAGAAGACAAGGCGTGGACAGAGAGAGGTTGGCCATGCACAGCAGGAGAGCCCCGGGCCTGGGGGCAGGGCAAGGGCGCTGCGAGCCCGGAAGAGGACACAGTGCCCAGGAGAGTAGAGGCAGCTCACCAAATACAAACATGCTGCTCCCGTAGACAACGGCCGAGTGGTGGTAGCGGGGGGCTGGTGGGGTGCCCGTGGTGAAGGCCCTAGTGGGGGGGACACAGGGGCAGTGGGTGTCAGCAAGGGTCAGCTGTGCAGCCCACGCCACACAGGGCGGCCCCTGCCACCTCCATGATTCCTTTTATTTCTGTGTTTTGTAGCTAATACTTATGTTGCTATATACAAACAGTTAATAAAAGTTGCCAAAAAGGAAAAAAACACAAAACAAGCACTAAGACTTACATATAATCCCTTTGCCAGAAACCACGATCTATACCTTGAAGCCCCCCCCCACCTTTCCTATGCAGATTTATGCCTCTGAGTAATTTTTAAAAATGGAATCACGTGGTAGACAGGTTGCAGTATCTGGTTTTCCAGTTAAACAGTAGAACGTGACGAGATCTTCCCGCTACTCTCCCATCAGCTAGACCTGTGTTTTCACAGCTGCTCTGTGTTCACAGAGTCAGTCCGCGCATTTTATTTATTGAACTAAAACCGCATTTATACTGCTTCCCTGGGGCTGCTCCTTTTTCAGAGTTTTATGCTTAAGCAATGATTAGTAAAGGACTACAACGTCTTTAGGGTGATTTTGAAAATTAATCTGTAACCATCGGCTATGTTCTAAAACCAAGTGTGAGAGGAACAATAACACATTTCTCTGGCACTCCCAGCGCTACCCAGGTCTCCTGAGCAGTGATGCCACCGCGGTTTGCCAGGCTGGGCAGGTATGGGACATCCTCCTCCATCAAATAGGGGTGGTGAGCCCCCTACCTCCCCAGACGACTGCTAGGGACTAAGGGCTACACACTGAGCTCCTGCAGAGTGGGGCACCCAGGGGGCTCCAAAGGTCTGTGCTCCTGCACGAGCAGACGGCAGAGCTGAGGAGAGCGCCCAGTATCTCCTAATCCTGGGATCCCTTTTCCCCCTCAGCCGTGAGCTGCCCCCTGGGTAGGGCTGGACCGGAGGAGACGGGCACAAATATGCAGTGCTCAGAGAGGGCAGGTGTCTTGCCCAAGGCTACACAGGTGGGAGGGCCACCCGTGGCAGGAAGCCAGAACCCTCATATTGGCCACTACTCATGTGGGGTGTCCGGGCAGAAGATGGGCCCCACAGTGACAGTCCTAAAAAGACCCAGCAGCCACCTCCCACCCATGTGGCTTCCCATGTCAGCCACTGGCCAGGGAAATAGGCCCAGGGATGGTAGGACTCTCTGGAGGCAGAATTTGAGGACCAGCAGCCAGACCAAACAGATCCCCTCACCTAACAGGATTCAGAATAACAAATCCGAGTTGTGGACTGGAAAAGAAACAGGAAAACCAACTTGACAATAAACTATTTGTAAAAATAAATAAATAAATTAAATAAATAAATAAATAAATAAATAAAATATATGGTATTAAAATTTTAAAAAATAAAGAATATTTTAAAACCTGAAAAAAAAAAGAAAGAAAAGAAACCCAGGAGAGGGAGGGAAAGACTAAGGGCCACTGCTGTCTCCTTGCAGCTTCTCCCTACCCCTCCCGCGCCAGGACCCTGCTGGGAATCAGGGCCCAGCACAGTGCTATGGACCTCTTGGGGAAAGAGGGGGACCTGGGGCCCAGAGGCCACCCACCTGCACCAGGAGCAATCCTTCACGTCAAACCGCAGGAGATCGTTGAGCATGGTCTTCCTAAAAGACAGCCAGAGAGAGGTGGGGTCGGTCCTGGTCTGCTCTCCAGGACCCAGGAGATGGACGCTGCGGCCCGAGGGCAGGGGTGGGAACTGCTGTGGGGACTCAACCAGGGCCAGGCAACCAGCTGACTCCCGAGGGACCAGAGCTCCCAAGGGACCAGAGTGACCACAGAGGAAGCTCCCCAGCTGGTGTGAGTACCAAGGCCGCCATGTACGTGGGACCTGCCTGCCTGGGGTCGGGTCCCAAGTAGGAACCCAGCCACCCAGGAGCCATCCCAGCCACCACTCCTCCCACTCCCACATCTCAGCACCCCCTTCTCAGAGGCTGTGCCACCACAATACAGAGCTTCCCAGGGGAGGCCCCTTTCCTCCTCTCTGATATTCCTTCCAGCTCTTTATTGCAAAGCCAATGTAACTACATTAAAGATACCATAAAATGGAAAACAAAACCACTGGCCACCCACCAAGACCTGCATGTTACTGGCCAGCCCTTGTCAGGAAGAAGGGAGTTAACTAACAAGAGCCCAGCACCCAGGCCTGTACAGGGGCGCCCCCTGCACCCTTCCCTCCGTCTGCACCAGGGGGCTGCACACTCCACCTGCGTCTGCAGATGAGGAAGCAGCCTGGGAGATAAAGGGCCTGCCTGCCTGAGGCCATGCAGCCAGGAAGCCTGGAGCTGGGAAGCAGGCACGTGACTGTAATTTCTCCCCTCTCCCATCTGCCCCTCCCCTCCACCGTCCACCCCTCTCAGATGCTGCAGGAGGCCTCCTTCCTGCCTGCCTTCCTTTCTTAATTGTTTCAATGTTTATTCATTTTTGAGAGACAGAGAGTGGGGGAGGAGGAGAGAGAGAGAGGGAGACACAGAATCCCAAGCAGGCTCCAGGCTCTGAGCTGTCAGCACAGAACCCAATGCATGGCTCGAACTCACAAACTGTGAGATCATGACCTGAGCTGAAGTTGGCATGCTTAACCAACTGAGCCACCCCGGTGCCCCTCTTTGCTTCTCTTTTAAATGTTTATTTTTATTTTTGAGAGAGAGAGAGAGAGAGAGAGAGAGCGCAAGCAGAGCAAGCAGGAGAGGGGGAAGGGCTGAGAGAGAGGGGGACAGAGGATCCAAAGTGGGCTCTGTGCTGACAGCAGAGAGCCGGATGAGGGGCTCGAACTCACAAACCATGAGACCATGACCTGAGCTGAAGTTGTTTAAGGGACTGAGCCATCCAGGCACCCCATCTTTCTTTGTACCCAATCTTTACAAAATTGCAACCAGAGTGAGACAAATCCATATCCTGTTTCTTAATGCTACATCGTAGCAAAAATATTTCTGCTCATTGCTACACAGTTGCCATGCCAACACTACCTGCTACAGAATACTCCTGGGGGTGTTCCCACCCACTGCCCACCAGGCCTTTTCTGGCTTGGGGGAGTCTCATAAAGCCTGCAGTGAACATCTGTGAGCCTTTTCCTATTTTATCCCTTCAGGTGACACACATTTACTGAATTCTCTGGGTGCTGGGTTCAGGTCTCTCCCCAGTGGAGGAGACAGGTAACAAACATCTTTGTGCTCTGAGATAACTCTGAGGTAATCTATGTGGTCTCTGCTCTTACCATGGAACCAGTAAGAGGCGCAGAAGGGGACGGGAGGGCCACAGTGCAGTTGGCCCAGACGGTCGGGAAGGCCTCGCTCACAGTATGTTCAGAAGAGAGGCAGAAAGGGTGGGAAGGAGGGAACGGCCAGTACAAGGGCCTGAGCAGGATAACTGGTTCAATCAGAGCACAGCAAGGCAGTGGTATAGCCCAGTGCAAAGGAACAGAGGAGCAGGGCGGGCACAAGTGTATGGAGCCTCTACGACTGCCAGGAGGCTTGGGCTTTTACTCAGAAAGAGGGGAGCCATCCCAGGATTATGTGCTGAGGAGGCACACCCTGAGACTTGCATTTCAAATGGATCCCTCTGGCTGCTCGGGGGAGGCTGCGGGGGAGACAGGCTAGAAGCCAGGGCCTCACCCAGGGAGACCTTTCTGCCTAGTCTGCAGGTCCTCATGGGATCCTCTGTACCCTCCAGCTCCAGGTCAGCCCCCGCAGGGAGTCTGAAGGACCAAGGCTGCAGAATCAATCAGAGGCCAGTCCTTCTGGGCTTCAGGCCAAGTCCTGTGGTTGAGAGGCAGGGACAGACCCATGGGCAGAATCGGTCATATGCAAACACTGCACTCTCAGTACAGCAAAACTTGTCCTGAGCCCTTCACAGGTTTGTGCTCGCTGACCCTCAGAAGCAAGGTATACAGCCACCCCATATACAGAGAAGAGGAGACCAAGTTAGTGGTTTTAAGAAATCTGTCTGAGCTCAAAACCACGAAGTTCTAACTTGAACTGAGCCTGGTCTATCCGGGAGTCCAAGCTTCAGCGCCACATCTAGAAGGCTCCCAAGCCTCCCAGGATGCCCCCTGGTGGGCATCCCTGGCCTTTCCTGACCACATAAATGAATGAATGGAGGAGGAAAGCCCTGCCCAAACTCCAGGCCTGGAACCACTCTGTACTCCCCCACCTCTGGGCCATTGCTTAGGCTGATCCCTCTGACTGGAACCCTCTTCCTCTTTTCTCTGACTCACTCCTACTTATCTGTTGGGTCATCAACCCCTCCAGGAAGGCTTCTCTGCCTAGATCAGAGTCCCCTTTCCTCTCCAAGCATGAACTGCTCTGCCCACACCCAGTACTTAAAATGGCCCAGCTAAAAATCACTCTTTTCCTCTGGGAATGGGTCTTAGGGAAACACCAGCAGAAGAAAGCAGCTGCACAAACCAAAGGGTTACCTCAGCCATTATCTTTCCCCAAAGGAGACCAGCCACAACTTAACTGGGAACAGCTCATAGGCTGGAGGTGTGTCCACCAACAAAACATCAGGTCATTGTCAGGAAAGTTGCTTCCCAGGAATTTATGGCAGGTGGGAAAACCTTTCCAAAAAGTGGAAAATATGTGAAATAAATAAAACTGTGTCCTCCAAACATTGCCATGTGAGCATGCAGATAAGCCCCAGAAAGAAGTGCGGTGAAGGAAAAGTGCCTGGTGAGGGCGACAGCCAGGGCGGATGTGTTTCTTTCAAGGCTGTGTCCACCCAGAACAAGAGGAATATTTCTGTGTCCCAAGCATATGCGACCCACCGAATGCTGTGCTGAGGGCCTTGAGGGCAGAGAACCTCAAAGATGGAGAAACTGGGACGGAATGCTTAGCTAACCGGCCGGAACCACCATGTTTCTCCCTCCCTGGTCCAAACACCCTCATGTTCATACCCACTCACCCATTGTCTCCACCAAATACATAGATAGCATCTTTATAGGCCACCACTGTGTGCTTGCTGCGCCTGGAAAGAAAGAATAGGTGGGCGGCAGTGAGTCCAGGACCCTCCTGGGGGCACCCAAGGAGACTAAGCACCCAGGCTGGCGCAGAAATTGGGTAAGACCTCTCAACTGCCAAGATTGACAGAGATCCCTAAATTCCACACAACCCCAGGACCCTGACATTGCCCTGAGAGTCTCTGGACTCCCCATCCCACTGCAGAGCTCCCAGAAACCCAGCTCCAGACCCACAAACACAACTTAACTCCAGTACCCTGCCCCAGGCCACGCTGCTCCGGGACTCCCTCAGGACCCCCTCTCCTACCCTGGACATCATCCTGGAGACACCACCACTTCCCCCCCAGCCCCCATCACCAGATCCTGCTCCTGGACACCACGCCCCGGCCTCGGTCCCTGGACCCCGCCCGAGACCTCCTCACACACCCGCCTTTCCCAAGATCCCTGAAACCCGCCGTACCGGGCCCCCACGAACTCGTCGCAGGGCGGGAGGCGCCGCCAACGATGCACTGTCTCGAAGGGCCCGAAGTTCAGTGTCAGGTATTCAACACTGTCCGAGCAGCTGTGGTCAAAGTCCACGCTCGGGGCTACCTTGGACCGCGCGCTGCCTGCCAGGGCCCCAGCCCCGATCGGGCCTCCAGAACCTCCCGGGCCAGCCATCCCCGTCCACGCCGGATGGGACACTGGATCCGCGAGACGTGAGGCCACCGCCCCTAGCCGCCCCGAGGGACTACGTTTCCCGGCGAGCCCTGTGGCAACCGCGCCACACTTCCGGCCGGCGCCGCACTCTCGGCTGCGCGCACTTCCCGGCGAGCTTAGCGTTCCTCTTGACGCAGCGGCCAGTGTAGCCTCCAGGAACCGACCCTGTGGAGAGCCTGTAACCCCCTGGGAATCATTTCCGCCATCAACCGCGCATCCGGTTCCCCCTTCCAGTGAAGGTGGTGTCTAGTACCCAGCCTGCTCTGGACTGCACTGCCCCAGAGTGGGCCCGACCCACGCCGTCAGAAGATGGCCACACTTCCCGGCATGCCCTGTTTGCGCGGGTCTCGGCCTTGATCGTCCGCCGCTGCCCGGATCCTGGGTGGAAGGTTCCGGCGTCACAGCGGCCTAGGAGGGAGCCCGACTATCTCTTTCCGGCTTGCTCTCCATTTCTGGTCCCCGCGTCTCGCCCTCGGTATTCCCCTTGGCTTGGAGACAGAGTGGCACAGAGGCTCTAGATGCTCGTTCCTGCTTACTATCAGAGCCTAATTTTCTTTACCTGCGAAATGGGGGTTCCTGGAGTTCTGGCTGCCATGAAAAGCATGGGTTGTCTCAGTACCCAGCCCCTACAGCCCTGCTTAGGCACATACCCCCAAACTGTGCGAGCTGCTTCTGACCCCTGAAGAAGCACGTCCCATCTCAAACCTTTGGCACGTGCTGTCCCTTCTACCTGGAGTGCCATTCTTTCGAAATCCAGATCCAAGACACTGGTTAGAGAAGCTTTTCCTAACCTTAGGGGCAGAATCAGTTGCTACCTCCTCTGAGTGCTCATAGGCCAAACTTGCTTGGTGTGTTTGTGCCTTCTCCCTCAGGAGTGTCTGTCCGATTACAATGGAAGTCACACAGGTCTGCAAATGTGTGCGTTTTAATTTTAAGATAGTATCTAATATGTTGCAGGGTCCTGTTGGGAACCAGTCTCAAGGAAGGGAGAAGAGGACAGGCCTGTCCTGCCTCCATTGCCAGCCATCAGTGGCAGCTGAGGCCTTGGGGGGGGTAAGCATCTCCCAGAGGCAGCAGAGGCCTCTCTGGAGGTGAGCCAGGCAACCGAAGGCAAGCACTGGGAAGGCTCAGGTTCTGCCCTGGGGGATCCTGGGAAATTGGAGATTGGCACCTGCCCCCAAGGCTTGGCCTCTGTCCCTGGTGCCCCAGCGTGCCTGCCCAAGTCTGCTGCATGCGAGCTCAGGATCCTTTCCCTGTGAGCCAAGACATGTCGCCGGTCCTGCAGGAATGAGGGGAGGAGGAGTCAGGGTAGAAGACCCACTTGGCACCATGAACAGCTGACCCCTGAGGACAGCAGGGGTCCTGCTCTGTGCCAGGCCCTGGTGCCCAGCAGGAATGGGTACTTAGGCAGAGAGGGTCTTCATGGGGTACAGGCTCTGGGCTGAGGTGGGAAAGGCTCAGAATGGTCAACAGGAAGGACAGAGGACCACGTACTTGCTGTGTAGCACAAACAGCCTTTTCGAAGGCAAGAGAGAGAGAGACAGAGAGAAGGCCAGGAAGAGAGCATGTCATTCATCATGTCCCCTCTTGGTTCTCCATTTTTTCCAGCCTGAGGCCTACCCATGTCCCATGACCTCCAGGGTTTCCCCAGTCCCTGCAGGGAGGGGGCCTCTCTGCAAGCAGTTCAAGCCCACAGGGTGACTCCCATTGGCATCATCCTGGGGTGAGGGGAATGGCTGACATCCAGTGTCCCCCAGACACCAAACAACCACCCAACATCTCTATGCAGGGTGTCCCCAGAGGTATCACTATGTGCCTTTACTCCCTAGCTTCTGCCAGTCTCAGTACAACCATGTCCAGTTGGGTGTCCCATGCCAGGTAACTGCCTAAGCAATGGCTTTGACCAAAGACTTTGACCCCTACCCACAGCACTGGTTCTGCCCTGGGACAACAGCCTTTTGCCCTTCTTTCTCCCAAGAGCCCATTCGCAAACCACAACCCTTATCCCAACCACCGTATAGTCCTGATGCCGCGTAGACTGATGTGGACCAAGAACAGGGGGAGGGCTCTGTAGGGCTATGGGGGTGGCTGGCTACCAAGGACCAGTCCCTTGGGGAACCTCCCTCCCCACCCCCGTATCTCTGAAGCCCACACTCACTCCACCTCCCGCTTTCGGATGGCACGGCCTGAGGCTAGCACCTCAGCCACCTTGGACACGATGGGATCGTAATTCATGCTGGCCACAGCAATCACCTCATCGCCTCTGCAGGGACAGAGTAACTGAGCTTGAGCTCTGCCCAGCAGTGGCCTCTCTTCTTAGAGACCCTGATGTACTCCTCTTCAACTGGGGCCCAGGGAGCGATCTTACCCAGAACAACAGAAATATCCGGAGCACCCAGCCCTTCCTGCTTTGCTTGGCCCAGGATGGGCTTTGGGATCCTGCCAGAAGCCCACTGAGGCTCCAGACTTCCTCCTCAGTGGCGTTCAGGGCTGAGCTCCAGTCCTGAGATCACCACTCTCTACCTGTGTGATTTTCCTCAGCGTTAAAGGGGGAGTCAACACCCACCTCAAATTGCTGGCCTGAAGATAAAATGTCTGTCTCAGTGCATGGCTGCTGGAGTTATTACTGCCCCACCTCCTCACTTTCCCTTGGCGGGTCTCCTGCCTTAGCTGCCTCCCTTAGCCACTCGGTCCATCTTTCAGGTAAGTTCCCTCCTCTGGAGCAGAGCTCCTCTGGGATGAGTTCCCCTTCCCGATTGAGCTCCCGCTGCTTCGCCGCCCCGTTCCACCCCGTTGCTCTCACTTGGTGTAAAAAGCCACGAACTTGAGCTCTTCCAGATCTCCCTGGATGATGACGTCGTCGAAGCCTTCTCCGTACCCTGTGGGCCGAACAGGAGGGGATGGGACTCCCCCGGGTCAGCGTCTTACGGTCTCCTAAATTCCCAATGAATCCCCCACCAGGCCTCGCTCCCTTTGTCCTTTGAGGTGGTCCTTTTAGGCCGCCCCCAACCAGTTTTTGCTCTTCTTACAGCTGTCGCGACCCCGCCTCTAGGATGCTCATAGCCCCGCCCTAACGTCCAAGCTCCACCTCTGCGCTTCGCAAACACCTTAACCACACCCCTAAACGCTCTTGGCCCCGCCCCTGTCCGGGCCCCTCTGTTACCCGCGTAGCGCAGGCTCTTGCCAAACATGGCTGTCCACAGGTAGGGCACGGTGCTGATCTCCGCCTCCTGCGCCAGCATGTTCTGGGCCGCCACACGCCCTGCAAGACCCAGGGTCGTGAGAGCCCCGACCCTATCCCCGGCCACCCCTCCACTGCCTGCCGGGGCTCTCTGGGGACCTCTGACGTGTGGAGCTACTCCTCCTTGCCTTCCTAGAGCTGAAGAGATGCGTCATTGCTCAGCCCATTGTCCGCCCTCGATTGAAGAGGAGACACCTAGTTCAAAGCCAGTCACTTAGATTGCTTCTCCAGAGAATTTGAATGAAGTGGCCCACATCTAGAAAGTCTGCTTCCTGGCGTTGTTGGGCTGCCCCCCATTTCAGGTGTGCACAGAGACAACTAATCAGACACATCAGGTCTTAAGAATGGGGCACAAGTGCCCAGGGAAGTAGAGATGACAGCCACACCCAGGGCCCCAGAAAATTGTGTGGGTGGCTTCCCAGTTCATATTCCGAAGCCCCACTGAATCCTGTAGTTGTAGGTTTATGAGAGACCCCTAGACCCTCCCAGTTAAACCCTAATTATACTTGGCTGATGAGTGGCCTTTGGTTCCTTAAAGCCAGCACCAACTTTAGACCATGAACCTGAACAGAAATTGGTACCAGGAGTGGGATTCCAGGCAGCAGATGCTCAGATAATGTGAAGTGAGAGAGGAGAGGTGAGTGCAGGGAGTCTGGTGGTCCTCCCCACAAGGTAGCTAACTTGCTCTTACGTACATCTTAGGGACTCAAACCAGGTGTTCACAGTAAACCAGGCTTCAGGGGCATGGTGACAATCAAGTGGGGGGAGGGGGGCTATTCCTCAGAGAGCACAGCAGTTGCTCGCTGAGCCTGTTTCTAGGCCCAGATGGCTGCCCCCCAGGGGCCTGCATGAAACAACTGTGTTCACAGAGCCAGCTGAATGGCCCAGGGGAGACAGAAGCACTGAATGGGAAGGTGTCCTGTGTCTTACTAATCCCTTTCTCTCTCCCTGGGTGACTGCACAGGTTGGTGAGGATGAAAGGCAAGGAAGGGCTGGTGGAAAGATGGGGTGGGACACTGTGGCTAGTTGGGTGGGATGTCTTGAGGGCACTGGAGGGGCGTCTGTGGATGGGCCACAGGGCTGGCTCTGTCAGCTGGCTTTTTTTTTTTTAAGTCAGCTTCACACCCAGTGAGGAGCCTAATGTGGTGCTTGAACTCACAATCCTGAGATCAAGACCTGAGCTGAAATCAAGAGTCAGATGCTTAACTGACTGAGCCACCCAGGCGCCCTGTCAGCTGGCCTCATCACCCGGAGGAGTCTCCCAGACAGGGCACCACAAAGCCTTGAACGTCTAACCCAGAGACCAGGACCCAAGGCCAGCAACTGAGGGGTGGGCCTGGGGGAAGCTGAGACCCTGGGACAGACTCCCACTCCCCCATCCTGCCGCAGGGCTGGCCATACCCTGGGCATGAGCCATCTGCCAGTGTGGGATATTCACTTTCCGATTGTTTCTCCAGGCCAGGGGGAAAGTGACAGCATCGCCAGCTGCAAACACGCCTGGGATGTTGGTCTGCATCATCTGTGGGGAGAGGGCCCAGGGCTCTGTGGGTGGGACAGCAGCCTTGACTTGGACCTGCCGCTACTCCCAGCCTAAGCACCCTGCCCACCCCGCCCAGCCCCACCTTGTTGACAGGGATGAAGCCTCGGGAATCCAGATTGATGCTGCTCTGCCTCAGGAAGCCTGTGGCAGGCACCGCGCCTGACAAGACAGGGGCCACCATGTCCATTCCCTGGTCCCTCCCTTCTCCCCCCTCATCGTCCTCCATGACCCATACCCTTCACTCACCACAGTTCAGCCCCAGACCATTCATCCAGTGGGCTGCCCATCCTGCAGCCTTCGTGCGTCCTGTCCCCTCTGCCTGGACCCCCAAAGACCCCCATGCCTCCCATCTGGCCTCATGTATCACCTCCTCTGAGAGACTCCATGAAGCCCCTGGTGGGGTCGGCATGCCATACCTCCCCAGCACCTAGGCTGCCACCTCCCCACACTGGCACCTCAACTGGAGCAGGGACCAGTTCGGGGCTTGTTTGTGTCCTGCAGCCCACATGGGGTGGGCTGTGGAGTCGAGGATTTGTGGGCAGCAGTCCCTGGGAGCATCGTCCATGCCAAGCCCTGGCTAAACGTGGACCACCCATTCCCTGATAGCCCTGTAAAATGGGTTGGAATACCCATTTTACAGATGTGAAAACCAAGGCTCAGGGAGGGGAAGAGACTGGCCCAAGGCCATTCTGGAGCATGTGCAGGTGCTCATTTGCACCTGCCTGCCCACCCACTCACCAATGCCCACAACACAGACGTCAGCCCGCACGACCTTGCTGCTCTTCAGCACGACCTCCTTTAGCTGCGGGGAGGGGGCGGGTTAGCAGGTAGGCCCAGCTCCTGGGAACAGGGGAGAAGGGGCAGGAAAAGGGGCCCACCTTTCCCTCCTGGGCCCGCAGCTCAGACACCTCTGTCTGCATGTAGAACTTGACCCGGTTGTTCTCAAACATCTGTCAGGGCAGGTGGGCAAGAAGGTCACAGATGAGAGAGTGGCCAAGGGCTGGGCTGGGTGCCTGGAGTTCTGAGGGCCCAGATGCCAGGTGCCAGGGTGGGCTTACCTTCATGAGGGCACGACCGACACGTTCCCCCAGAAATCTCCTGAAGGGCGTCTCCTCCAGCTCCACGACGGACACTGAGTGGGCCTTTTCCGTCAGATAGGCGGCCACCTCCATCCCTAAGGGGTGGTGGGCAGTAAGCTGGCACTCCGCACCCTGGGACCAGCCACGACAGCCTGACCACTGTCCCCATCAGCCCCAGCCGCTCACCCAGGAAGCCAGCTCCCACGACCACTGCGTTGCGGCCCCGGGCCAGCCTCACCACGCGATTGGCATCTTCAGGCGTCCGGATGGTGAACACATTCTCCACCTCTTTGCCTTTGCAGCTCAGCGTCTTAGGGCTGAGACGTGGCCAGGATCAGTGAGGGGCTCCCGGCACCCAAGCCCTCCCATACGGTCTGTTGCCCTGCCAAGTGCCAACAGGGGACAAGGGGGAGACACCCTCCCACCTGCTCCCTGGTGCGAGCAGCAGCTTGCTGTACTCCAGCTTGAAGCCATCCTTGAACACGACCTTCTTGTTTCTCACGTCCACTGTAACCACCTGCAACCCCCACCGGGCAGAGTGTGGGTCTGGCCGTGGACTTGGGCCTGGCTGCCCCTTCGAGCTCCTGCCAGACCCTCTGGACAGGAGCTTCCACAGGGGCTGTTCCTGCCACCTGGATGGTCCCCTTTCCCTCACCTGGCTTCTCCTTACTCTTTAAGCTTCCGACATCACCTTCCTCTCAGAGCCATCCTTAGGTTCTCCCGCCCCAGCCCTGAACAGATTTCTGCATGTGCCCACAGTCCTGCCTGGAAGACTATCCAGCACCCCCGGGTGCCTGGACAGCAGGGCCAAGAGGGCAGAACCCCTCCCCAACACACACACACACCTCCAGGGGCTCACATGGCCTCACACCATTTGTAGTTCTCACTAAGCCTTCCCCAGGGCTGGTTCTTTGTCTCAGCCCCATACCTGGGCCTCGGTGAGCACCTCGATGCCGTAGGCTCGGAAGAACTCCTTGGGCCTCAGGGCCAGCTGCTCAGGCTGTGCATCCAGGGACTGCAGGAGACAGCTAACTTGAGATAAGGCCAATTAGCCAGTGTTCCGTTTTGCAACGGAGGCCCCAAGACCTAGGGAGGGTAGGGCTGGGCCCGGGTCACAAAGGGGCTGCAGAATGGAATTCACCGCGGACAGGCCCGGCCTGAGCAGAGAGGCAGCTGGCCAGACCCCCAAGGAGTGACAAGCAAGGTGCTGAGAGGGGCTGACAGTGCCCAGAGAGCTAAGGGTCTGGGCCCCCATTTGCCCCTCCTCCCACCTTGCTGAGCTTAGGCCGGTCATAGGGGAGGTGCCGGTCTAGCGTGCACAAGACAATCCTGTCTGAGAACCCCTCCTGCCGCAGTGTCTCCGCACACACCAAGCCAGCTGCACCTGAGGGGACGATGCTGTGGGTCAGGGACCACCCCTCCCCCACCTTGCCCTGCCCCTCATAACCTCGCCACCAACCTGCGCCTACAATGAGCACGTTGGTGCTGCTGCTGTGGCCAGCACTTGGAGAGATACACTTAGCCATCACCTTGGTTCTTCGCTGTAGCTGCAAGGCCTGGGGGTGGCCGGAGAGCAGGAGGCAGCTGGGAGCTGGAGTCATGGAATGGCATCCTCCCTATGCCATCATCCCAGCAGGCCAGGTCCTGCTGCTGCAGTCCAGCCTCATCCCCACTGCACAGCTTTCCACTCTGTTCCCCAACCACAGGGCCTTTGCACATGATGGCCCCTGGGTCAAAATGCCCTCCTCACTTCTCCTTTTTACCTGAGCCCAAGCCACGCCCTCACCTGTTTACTGGCTCGGACGTACACCTTCTCCTTCTCAATCTTCACCTGCAAGGGCTGTGTTGCTCAGGACCAGGTTTTGGGGTGCTCCATCCCCTGCCCTGCACCCCCAGGCTCCCACCCTACTGCCCGCCTGGCCCCACCTGGAATTTGTGCAGACTGTCCAGGCCAGGGAAATCCTCCAGGTCACCAGTGCTGATGTTGAAGCAGGCACCATGCCAGGGGCAGCGCACCCGGCCGCGGGACAGCACACCTAGGGGAAGCAGTGCTGGGCTGGGGCCACAGGCAGTGGCTCCCCCCTCACCAGCTGCTGGCCCCCCCCACAGCTCAGGAGATCCCACTAATAGATGAGACCCATGCAGTCCAGGGAAGAGCCAAGTCAGCCTGTGAGGGCGCAGCGGCCAAGCACCCTTCAGGGAGGTCCCGCCCCACCTCCCGTGTGTACTGGGACGACTCACCTTTCACCAGGGGTGCACCGTAGTGTGGACACTTGTGGCCCAGAGCGTGGAACTCCCCATTGTCCTTCACCAGCAACACCTTCCCCCAGCCCAGCTCTACTTCCCGCATCCTGGGAAGGGGATGCACTCAGACATGAGGCCAGACACCAGGCACCACCTCTGCTGGGCACCCCTTCCCAGAGTCCAGCTTTCTGGGAAGCCGGCCCAGGCCACACTGGTGGTGGCTAGTGCAGGTGCTGGTCAAGGGCACATTCCGGGCCTCCCAGCCCACCCCATCCATGGCCTGCACCATGCCTTCCCATCTCGGGCCCTCCGACTACTCCCCGCCCACCAGGACCAGCACCCACTGGCCATTCTCAAGGTCCTTGACATGGCAGACGGCGGCCTCCACACAGTCCTGAGCACCGGGGTACGGATGAGGGGCGGGCAGGCGCTCCTCAGCGTGGAAGTGGCGGGCTGTGCCATTGCCCTGGTAGGCGCGGGGGCTGCCCTTCCCGCTGGCTGACAGTTCCTCCTTGCCCCGCTCCTTCTCAGGCAGCACCACCTCGATCTTGAGCTCCACTGTAGGGCAGGCAGGGCAGCACTGAGTCTCCAGCCCTGCCCACCTCCTTGTGCAACCACCCCACAGGCCCTGGGCAGGCTGGCCCCTTTGAGTCTGAGTTCCCTCCTGTGCCTCGACCTCCCCAGAAAGCCATCTGCAACATCAGCAAAGAGCCTTAAAATAGGCAAGAAGCAAGGACACCTGGGTGGCTCAGCTGGTTAATTATCGACTCTTAATGTTGGCTCAGGTCATGTTCTCACTGTTCATGAGTTCGAGCTCACACTCACAGTGCATGAGTGTGGTGCTTGCTTGGGGTTCTGTCTCTTTCTCCCTCTCGCTCTGGCCCTCCCCTGCTCACGAGCAAGCTCGCTCTCTCTCTCTCTCTCTCTCTCTCTCTCAAAATAAATAAATAAGCTTGAAATTTTTTTTCATTAAAAAAAAACAGGGAAGAAGCAGAACAGAGGCAGCAGGAGGTGGGCTGGGTTGGCTTGATTTCATTACTGCATGTTTTCTTTTTCAGTAATAAATTAGTGAGGGGCGTACAATGGAGCTCCTTTGGCCCTGAAATTGCCTTTTCTCCAAGAAATCTATGTGGGGGAAAGAACGCTGGTGGCCTGAATCCAGCTCTGACTCCAACTGCACAGCCCCTGATGGGGAAGGACATCCCTGAAAGATCAGGGGCACGTGTAGGGTCTGACTCCACGGAGAACAGAGCGTTCAAACCTGGGTGTGGTTCACTTCCGGGCCAGGGAATCTGGGTGATGGGAAACCAAGGCTTTGTTGTTCTGGTTGCAATGTTCCCATAGGTTTGAGATTTTTTTTTTAGTTAAAAAAAAGTGTACACAATGTATTTTCAAGTTCTTAAAATAGCTATGCTCACCAATTTAAGAATCCATCATTCGCCAAGCACTGGTTTTTCAATGCCTTCATGTGCAGGGATCTGGGGCCTTGGGGGTGAACTGTACCCAAAGGGATGGGTGCACAGGGACTGTGCAGAGGGGGTGCGGGGCCCACCTTGAAGTTTCTATGGGTAAGATGCTTCCCCAGAGTGCCCATGGGGCCTACTCTAGCAGGCAGTTAGCCCCGAGATTGTCACTTTCTTCTGTATACTTCTCTGCATTTTCTAAATTCCCTACAATGTGCCTGGGGTATTTTTCTAATTAGAAGGGAACAATAAACAGAATTTTTAGCAGCGATAATCCCGGCCTCCTGGGCTGAAGCTAAGCCCCTGGCACAGCATGGGCCCAATGAGGAAGCAGGCGCCTCTCCCAGAGCCTCCAGCCCTCTCCCCTTTTCACCTCTTCTCCCCTCCACCCCAGACCTGACATCTAGAAACAAAGAACAGAGTCACACCTCTGGGCCTTTGCCTAGGCAGTTCCTTGGCCTGGACTGCCATTCTTCCCTGCTCTGGCTCCCTTGTGCCCATCCACTTGAACAGCTCAGGGGATGCCTCCTCTGGCTGCCCACTCCCTGGGTGTCCCTCATCTCTGGCACAGCTAATCTCCCACTGGCCTGGCTTGAAGCCCAGGAAGGTTGAACCCCTCCCCCTTATCCTCAAGTCCCAGCCCCTAGCCTGGCCCAGGCGCGGTAGGGGACACAGGGGTAAAGGTCCCTCCATGATTCCAGCTGGGCAGGAAGGGAGCACACCACCATGCTGAATCTGTTGTAGCAGGTGGGAGAAGGGGGAGGGGGAGGGGGCGGGTTAAGGTGGGGATAGGTTCTTTGCCTCCATTTCCATACTTTATGTAATGGTGTTAGAATGTTTTGAGAAGAATTAAAAAGGAAAATATTCCCGGACTCAGCTGACACCAGCTATGTGAACTGTAGAGAGGGAGCTCACAGGAACAGCCTGGCAGGGGCCCAGATGACAACCAAGCCAGGCTGTTTTCATCCTCCACCTCTTTCTAGAAGGCTCTAAGGAGCTCACTGATGCAGTGTAACGGGAAGCCATTAAGTCAGGAGCAGTAGTGTAAAGGTGGATGGAGAGGGGGTCCCTGCTCACCCATAGAGCTAGATCATTGATTCCTAGCCTCATGACTCCCAGGTGCCCATGTGACCATGGGCTCCTACCTTAGCCCCTTTGGACCTCAGATGCCTTCATTATAAAACAGAGAGAACAGTGCCTACCTGTAATAAGCAAAGCTGAGGGACTGAATATATGTAACCCAGAGTAGAAGCTCAACAGATAAAGCTGGGTAGTCACATCTTATTGGTTAGCTCTGAGCTTCCTGACAGCCATGGGGAAAAGGGAAAGCGGTGAGGTAACACTTGTGGCCTAACAAAAGGCAAGTGACCAGATGCCAAGAGAGCTGTATTTCCTCCTAGTTCTGAGTTTAGTATGGGTCTGGCCTGTAATACTTTATATCAGGAACACAGAGCCAATGGTACACGAGGAGTACAGAATGAATTCAGGAATGTGTGCTGATGTGCTCCAAGCCAGAGTCAAGCAAGATAGAAGGTGAAGAATTTGCACAAAGACCTTCGGCTTGCTTTGGTCTCCCTGTAGCTCCTGCTGACCCCAGCTGAACTTTCATGGCCCAAATGCTTTCACTCCCACACCCTGAAATTCCCTGAGCCTCACCCATGACCTGCCCAGTGTGTGTCTGGAGCCTAAAATCCTGCCCTTCTGCTGTAGCTCCACAGGGGAGCCCTGGAAGCAGGAAGCCTAGCTCCCAAAAGAGGGGATAATAACATTTTGCTGATGCCTCCTGTGTGCCAGGCTCTGTGCTAAGCACAACAGTCTGCTGGAGGGGGTGGGGATGGTGGGCAAAATTGTTAGCCCCACTTACACATGAGAACACAGCAGCTCAGAGAGGTGAACTCACCTGCCCAAGGCCACACAGCCAGGAAGGGGCAGAGCTGAATTTTAGGCTCAAGAGTGCAAGTTGTTACCACTGTCTCTAAGGGTGGTGCAAATGGCCAGCTCCTGAACTGGGAGCTTGGGGTCAGGGGCCTCAGGCAGGCTGGCCTGCCTCCTGCAGGCGGTATCCTCTGCTCTTGGCTTCCTGCCAGCCCAGTGGTCCAACAGGAGCCAGATTTAGGACCAGCTAGCATTTCCCTGCCCACTTCGGACAGAGGAAGGCTGAGGTGAAGACAGTGGACATCTTTTGCCCAAGTCATATATGGAAGCAGGAACGGTGGTAGCATCGGGCTCAGGGCTGGGTATCCACGGCATAGGCATAGGGGGAGGGGGAGCTGGCTCCCGAGGCAGGTGAAGGGGGTGTACCTCGGCCAGCCGGGGCATCAAAGGTCTCCTCTTGCCCCCACGTTCTCCGTCAGACCCACGAAAGGAGAATAGGCTCATGTGTTCTAAGGTAATGAAGCCGATGGGTATCAGGTAAGGGGAGCTGGGACGAGCTGGCTGGGGCAGGCTGGCCTGGGTGGCAGGTGGGCGGGGGCACTGACTAGGGCACTAGAGAGGCCAGGGACATGCCTCCACTCTTTTGCCTTCCTGAGTGTTGTGAAGAGAGAAGAGGGAAAATGGGGGCTGGAGAGAGAGCCCAACAGACAGGGGTCTCCATGGAGAGCAGATCGGGGCCTCCCTTAGCATCTGGGAGGCCCCCACCTGGGGCTGGAATCTCTTGGGCCAGGCAGGGCAGGATTTCCTGCACAAATCGGGAAATTCGACCCAAGGTCACACAGGACATCAGAAGAGGGCAAGAGGGCTATTACCTGTGCACTCCACCCTCCTGGCAACTTTGAGAGGTCGGGCTCATTTTGTAGAGAGGGAAACTGAGGCCCTGAGAGGTAACTTGCAGGCCCTGGGTCACACAGTGCCTGAGGGCGTCCTCAGAGTCCCTCTTCCCCAGCCCCAGGGGACCCTGCCCTTTTCCCCTGCCCCAGGGCAGGAGGAACCCTAACCTCTACTTTCTGAGAAAGCTTCAGCTGCTTTTCCCACCAGAAGCACCCACAGCCCCAAATAAAGAGGGGGACCCATTGGAGGGGAGCCAAGAGAATGGCTCCAAGCCCCCACCCCCTCCAGCCTGCAGGGAATTAACATTCGGAGCCGGCAGCCGCCTAGCCTGACCTACTTCGGAGGCAGAAGGGGAGGGGGAGGAGGAAGGAGGTGGCTCCAGGAGGGAGGGAGGAGGGACGGAGGAGGGACGGAGGAGGGAGAGGGAAGCGAAGGGGGAGGAAAGGGGGAGGGGGGAAGAATGAGGCAAGAGGAGGTACCTGGCTTGGGCTTGGAGAAACACCCACCCATGGTGAGTGGCCCACAGATGAGTGGGGGGCAGGTGCACAGATGGCGGTGGGAGTCCTAGGGTGCTCCCGGTGGGGCTGGACCCCCCATGGCCCTTAAAGATGCTGGAGCTGCCATCCCAGCAGGAGCTGCCTCCAGGACCTGCAGGGGAGACAAAGGCATCTGTAGGGACCAGGGCTTTGATGGGGAATGTGAGTAGATACAGAGATAGAGACAGAATAGGGGAGGGGCTTCTGGAGAACAGGCACACTTGAGCCCAGAACCATGTAGGGGACCTTGGGGGCACGTCCCCTTTGAGGCTTCACTCTCCCCGCCCATCTTTGCCTGTGGGCTGTGCCTACTTCCAGGGGAGCCCCTCTGCTCTAACCTCAACCACTCTTTTAGGTCCAGCCGCCTTGTCCAGTAAATCCTGATTTCTGTAACCCACTCAAAATCCAGCAGCCAAGGGAGGCCACAATGCCTGGGGTCAAACCTCAGGGCACCTTGGGCAGATCAGAGCCCTCCTGGTCCTGAAGTTTCTCTCCCAGGCCCTGGCCCCCACCCTAGCTGGCAGCCCCTTGATACCCACCTCCTCCAGGGGCAGCCAGAGCTTCTTCCTCCAGGCCCAGAGGTGGACCGAGGCTTCTGGGCCATGGAAGGCAGGGTGGGGGCAAGGGTCCAAGAGGCAGCCCAGCCTCCACCCCTCCTCCTAGTGTGAGTTAGGCCAGGAGAGGCTGGGTGGTGGGGTTTGTGCGGCCTGGGCTGGGCCAGGCTACTGGTCCCCAGGGAAACCCAGCTCCATGGAGAATAGAAGTGGGCGTCCAGCCCAGGCCTGATGGGGTTGGGGGAAAGGGAGGCCAGGCACACAGCCCAGGCCCAGCAGTTGTGAGCTCCCACCCTGTGCACCTCCCCCCTTCACCAATGCCCTCCAGGCCTGTGGTGCTGAGATCACATTCAATAGCAGATGAGGAAACTGAGGGGCCAAGGGCTTGCCAAGGTCAAGCAGCAGGCAGGGCCATCTGGCATAGCCTACCACTAACCTTGGTTAGTTTCAAGATGGGAGGGGGACCCAGGAACCCTCGTATCCCCCTGCAAGCCACACAGCTGGGGGGAGAGGTCATGGGTCAGCAGAGATCCCTGCAGCCAGATCCTCGAGGCCAGAGGGTGGGCCTTCTGGAAGATTCAGCTTGCAGACTGGACTTTGGAAGGCCCGGGACAAAGCTGCCCTGTTTACAAATGATCTTCCCCCAGTCCATCCCACTGTCATCCCCTCTGTTTTTCTTGGAAGTTCTTCCTGAAGTCTAACTCGAGGTGGGGCTGGACCTATTTGGTCTTGCCCAGATCTCTGCAAGGACTTTGAGTGGGTGCCTGAGAGCAAGGGGGCCAAGACAACAGGAGGAAAAGTTGGGAAGGACCGTCTACGGCCTAGCATCTGACCTAACCTGCACTAGAGGGATCCATTACGGTTCCGGAGGCGGCAGTACTCAAAGGCCACCTGGGCATACTCATGCTCTTTACCTCCCTCATCACCAAAACAGGTCTGTAAGATTTGGGTGCCATCTGCCCCACCTGTCCCCTCTCTGGGCACAAGGCGGGGGGGCCCTCCCCAGATCCTGGCTTCTCCTCTGGCTCAGCCATACCTCCCTCCCTCCTGCCTGGCCTAGGCTTCATCTGCTGGGCCAAAGATGTCAGAAAAGGTGGAACTTTCACTTGCCGCCAGTTACCTGTCTAGGCTGTTCCTCCCTTTCCAGGTGCCCAGGTGTCTCAGATCCTCCAGGGCCTTGGGCCTGGAAAGAGATTTGCCAGGGATTGAAACTTCCTCAGGCCTATCTTTGCAGGCTGGCTTGGAACCCTGCTGCCTCAAAGGGAAAGGCTCTTACTGTGGAGCAGCAGGAGGGACCCCCCAAGATTTTATGGAGTGCTGTCCCTTGCCCACAAACTACCCAATGCTGAAAGTTGTAATAGTGCCCAAGTGCTAACTATCCACCAGGAGCCTGTGTCCTGGTTCACAGGGACACCCTACCCCCCTAAGCCAGTGCAGGCTAGACAGAAGCGGGAGTGGGGGGGTTGCTGTCCAGTTGGGGCCCTCAGTGGCTTCTAGCGTTCCTTAGGATGGCATTCAAGTTTGAGGGTTATTTGCCCTCACCTGCTCCCCTCCGGGCTCAGGCGCAAACCTCCCGTGCACTCTCTCTGCCTTTGCACGTGCAGTTCCCTCTATCTGAGATGATCTTTCCTGCAGCCTTCCCGCTGGTCCAGGCGCCCTCACCAAACCGGACGGCCCAGAAAGGGGGACGGGTACACTGCAGGGCCCCGCGGCAAGCGAGTAAGGGCCAGGTGGGGGAGGAGAGAAGGAAGAGAGGCGCTCGAGTCTCCACCAAGTCTCTTTCTCTCCGGCTGCCGACCTCAGCCCCCAACGCCCCGGCCCCGGGTCCGCGACCTAAGAGCGCGCGCGCGCTAGACCCGGGCGCGGGGACTGTGGGGCAGGGACTCTGCAGCCAAGCCGGGATGGTGGGGTCGGGGGCCTAGGGCCTGGGGTCCCCGGGGTGGGCGCTCACCTGGACTCGGCGCGGGCCTCCGTTCTGGAGCCGCTCGGGGCCGCGGCCGCCTGGGGGGGTGGGGGGGGGGAGAAGGGGGGAGGAGCGGGCGGGGGCGGGGCCGGCGCTGCGGCGACACTGCAGCCGGGAAGCCCGCGGCGCCCTGCACCGCCCCGCCTGGTCCCTGCTGGTAGACGGGGGTCCGTTCCAGGTCAGGGGTCAGGCCGGTGACTTCGGAGTCGCGCGGGGTATGGAAAGGCATTTGGGGGCCCTTCTGGCCGTGGACGCCGCTGGCGGGGTCTGGATTCCCGGGGATCTGCTGGACCCTATTGGGGCGCCTAGCTGGGCAGCGCACCGGATTTGATTCTTGTTCCTTTTCTTTCTTTCCTAAGTCTTCTAATCGTGGGGGGCGGAGTGACGTGGGGAGTGGGAGTTGAATCACCCGGAGTAAGCTCCCCAAGAAGGAAAATCCAAATCACTCCCCACTACCCCATAGGTAATCTGACTCCCTTTGGGGGCTCAGTCTCCTTGGTCTGCCTTCTCCCTCCACACAATATGGCCTATTTTAAATAATACTTTATTACATTTTCCTTTTCCCATCTGTCATTATTTCAGGAGAACTTCCTGGGTTCCTGTAAATCATAATGCACCCTGATGTTGTGTCCCGTCTTCCAGGAAGCCCTCCCTGACCAGCCTCCCAGACTCAGACTTGATCAGGCCCTGATATCCTGGCTCCTGGTTACCTCCTGTTTCACTGTCCTGACTGTCCTGACCTTTGCACTTGTGTTTAGGTAGAGCTTGTACCTCCTGCAAACTGGGACTCAGTGACTTCGTGGGAAATGAAAGAATGACACTTTCTGAGGAAAGGATGCCACATCTGTCCATTAAACACATCAGGGCCCACCAACTCTGTGTCCTATTAGTGCTCCTTTAGTGACTCGTGTTGGGTTCTCTTTTTTGCCATCTCTCCCCTTTTTGGGCCTTGCTTTCCTGTAAGGATGACAAAAACAGCAGCACTAACAGTCACCTGTGCCCGGCAGATATAGCCTTCAGAGAAGGTCCTTTATTAATGCCCTACCCCGCCAAGGGAGACAAGCAACACTCCCCCTCATTTTACAGATGGGGAAATTCAGAAGGCTAAGTCTCACCCAGGGGCAGGACCAGGGCCTGCATGGGTCACACTTACGCAGGTAGGTGTGGGGCCGAGGCCTGAGGGAGAACTGTGGCAGGGCAAGACCATAACATCTGGCCTGGAAAGTACCCAGTGAGATGTTAGCAAAGCGGGAAATGGAACCCCAGATTGAGATGTAGTAAGGTGACCTGAAGTGGCTGAGACCTCTAGACCCAGCAGACATCCCAAAGGCAGGGAGGGGTTGCCAAGGTTTGAGAAGCAGGTGTATGTGTGTGTGTGTGGTTGGGGGGGGAGGGGGAGTGATCTCTGCCTAAGCCTGTCTCTGTTCTCCTTCTATCTATCCCCTCCTGTCAGTTTCTCCTGTTCCCCACGCCCCTCAGTCTAGGGCCTGGAAGCCAGGGTGTGCAGCATGATCCTTTGGAACCGGAGATAGAGGGGATGCTGCACATTGGGATTGACACTGGCGCCCTCTGGAGGCCAGTCTGAGGGGCAGCAGGGCCTACCTGAGCTTTGGGGTTCTGAGGGCAGCCGGCCGCCAATACCATAGAGGCCTCTTCCCTGCCAGACTTTGGTGGATTTCCAGATAGAGAAAGCTCAGTTTATGTGACTCCCAGGAAATATTGGGGGCTGATAAAGCACAGCCAACGCTTGAGCTGAGGCCAGCTGTGCCCACAGCTACAGGGTGATTCATTCATATAGAAACAGAATTTGGGGGATCCCTAGTTTGGGGAGCCTGAGCCAAACCCCACATCCCAGGCTCATTCCTGACTTGCTCTGGCTACTGCAGCCCAGGCTTTCCCCCGCCCTGGTCGGTCTACACTGTATGAACACTGTTCTGGGCTCTCTGACTGTGGAGGCCAGCTCCAGCTCCTACTGACTTCTTCAGCCCCATCATGGACCTCCCTAAGCTGCTGGCTTGCTGTCAGGACTGTCCTGTTCCCAGGTTATGGGGTAACCAGTCCTAATTTTAGTCCTCCTGAAGGGAGGGAAAGGTAGGAAAGGTTTTACTAGGAGGTGGCAAGGACTGAGGACAGACAGGCCCTTAGGAGTTCAACAGAGAGGAGATGGGCATCCAGGCAGAAGGAATGTCCGGGAAAAGGCAAGGAGGTAAGATGGCAAATTCTGGGGAATTCAGGATGTACCAGTCCAGTCTGGCTTGAGTGCTGAGTTCTGGGTAGGAGCATAGCATGGAGATATGTTACAGGGCCAAAGAGCAGCTGGGTTTTCATCACATGTGTCTTTGGTAAAGACAAAAACAAAAACACAACAAAAAACAAAACACTCCAACTAGTAGGACTGGCACTGGATTCGAATGGGGCAGAGGGACCAGAAAGTCAGGAGACACCTGGGGTGAGGACTGGGCCACAGTCAGCTTGAGGGCTGGAAGGTGGGCCATGCCCTCATGGCACTTACTTAGACCTGAGGATTTTCTATCATGAGCAGATTGGCAACAGCTTCCACACCCTCAATGACAAATGTGCTGGTTTAAGCTACCTCAGCCACATGGAGGAATATTGTTCAGCCATAAAAGGGGCCTTCCAAGAGCGCTTGGAAAAATGTAAATATTTTCTTACACACAGCTGGTGAAAGAGTAAGTTAAGGCAATCCCTACGGAGGGCATTTGGCAACACCTCTCAAAACTGCAAATACCCAGAGCCTTTGATCCAGTAATCCCACTTGGAGTAGCTCATTTTAATGCATCGGGCCACCTTGGAAAGGACATACATGTCCATCAATAGTGGATTGTTGAATGAATGACAGTACATCCGTATCATGTGGTACTATACAGCGGTGAAAAAGAACAAAGACTCACAACAATCTTTAAAACAGATTGGGGAAATAAAGCAAGGTACAGAACAGTAAGTACTCTATGTAGAGAAAATATTTAGAAAGCATGTTTACAGAGGTATATTTGCATGTACATTATAGACAAATTCTGGAAATATATATAATTATATTAATATATTATCAAATATATATTATAAACTAGAAACAGGGAGATTCTGGGGAGTGGAACGGAGAATGGAAAGGATGTGCTTCTTCAGATACCTGTCTTTTGATTTTTTTTTAATGTTTATATATATTTGAGAGACAGACAGACAGTGAGCGGGAGAGGAGCAGAGAGAGAGAGGGTACGCAGAATCCAAAGCAGGCTCCAGACTCTGAGCTGTCAGCACAGAGCCTGATGCGGAGTTGGAACCCAGGAAGGGTGGATCATGACCTGAGCAGAAGTCGGATGCTTAACCACCCAGGCACCTTTAGATAACCTGTCTTTTGAATGCTGCATCCTATGGATGTTTTTCCTCCAACCCTGAATCCAGGGTTGAATTCCCCAAACTCCTCGGAGCTGTTTTTGGGGAGCTCAGGTGGGCTTCAAACCACTGGGGTTTGGGTCCTTTTCCACTGGTCACTGGGTCTGGAGCAGCCCCTGCCCAGGTCTCTCTTCCTCTTGGTGCCCGCCCTCAACGCAGTTACTGGACAGACCACTCACTCCCTCTTTCCAGGAGCTGGCTGGTGGGCAGCTCCAGACGCCCACTCAGAGGACATCCCCGTCCCCCGCCCCCAGTCAAGCCGCTCCCTCAGATTCAGCCTGTACCGCACTTTCCGCGGGGGGGTCTTGGGCGGGTGGGTGTGGGTTGCCCTCACAGCGCGCCGCCTTAGTCTCGACTCCAGCCCCTCCTCCACCTGTGCCCGCCCCCATTTCAGAGAAGGCAAAACTGAACGCACCAGCCCTTGCCCCTCCGGAGCCTCCAGGTTCCGTCGGGGCTCAGAACCCAGGAGCCCTGCGAGGGCAAATTCGTTGGCCCCGGGGAGCCGTCCGGAAAAGCGTAATGCCGACGGCCACCGGGCCCTTCTTCGGTCTCCCCGCCTGGCCCTCGACCCTGCCACCAGGAAGCCCGGGCCAGTCAGACTCAGCCCGCGATCTCTGCAGCCGCCGGGGACCTCACACCGGAGCCACGCGCTCTGGACAACGTCCGGGAAGGGGCAAACCCTTTCTGGGACTTGAGGGCGGGGAGGGAGCCTCCAGAGGCCCCTGTGCACTGTGTCCTCTACCCTCACCCCACGCGGGGTTCTCCTCTCCATCCTTCCCGGTGTGATTCTCCGCCTGCTTCCGACCTGCCCCCGGGGACCGACGGCTGCGGCTAGGGGTGGGGAGTGGCGGGGCCGGGTGGAAGGGATCTGGAGGACGCGGTGGTGGTAGTCCCCAGAACCGGTCCGAAAAGCGGAGTACCGGAGTCTCGGTGACGCACCCGCGCCGGGGTACGTGCTGCAGCTGGGCTTGGAGCCCAGGACGCCGGAGCCCAAGGTGAGTGTGGGCTGCGTCTGCGCAGTTGCGAAAACCTGGGGAGTCAAGAGTGCCCGTAGACTCCAAGAGCAGGGTCAGATCTCGTGAGAGGGCTGAGGAAGAGGGCCCATGCCGAGGCCAAGAGGAGCTTCGCGGAACAGGGGCCACGGAGGAGACCACGTGAAAAGCCCAGCAATGTCAGTTTTTGCTGTGGAGTGAGGTTTCAAGATCCGGGCACCGGCCTCTGCTAAGGCTAACTGACTTAGCAGAGGAGGGTGGAGGGGCAGCCACCCTCACCTGCCCCATTTCCAAGGGTTTCCCTGCCACAGAGGAACCCAGCCCAGTATTACTGATCAAAATACACCTTTTCAAACCAAGTATTCTTCAAAGGTGTCTCTAGGGCACTGTTTCTTCCAGAATGGTTTAACAGTTTTTGTATTCCCATTCAAGGCAAACTTTTCTTTCAAATTCTGCAGTATCTTGAAAGTAGGATCTAGGGAGTACATTTTAGCAGCATAAATATGGACTGGTATCACTTCCTGAAACTCATTTCTGGAGGTTTTACTACAAGGAAATATGGACCTCTCAATACATACATAAATATGTGTGGGAACAGGGCTCTGGCTGAGGGGATGTCAGGAAACACAGTTTCATTCCCACCCACCTCCAGCTGTCTACCTGAAGGTCCTTGGAGTTCATCAGGAAGGCCATATACAGACAGAAACAGAAGAGTATGAAAAGTTAAGCAGGTATCATGCCCTAACTTGGGATGAGGCTACTTGTTTTTCGGGACTTACTTCCCCTTGAAACCATTCAACCCTGCCTGGGTAGCTTGTGCTGAACAAATACTTAACAGACGCCTTCAGATACAGGTGCCTAGAAGGGAAAACATCCAAATGTTCTTTGGTAGGATAAAGTATGGCAACTATTGCCTCATCTTCAGAAGGCAAAGACAGAGTACCAGCCCCCTTACAGCACCTACTGTGCTCACAACACTGGGAACCAGAGCTTATCTTTTGTAGGGGGCTCAACGTTGCGGGGAAGGGCCAAGGCAAGACCTATTTTGTTGTAAGCAATAGCAGGGCTGGGTTGCGAGAAGCACCAGTTGTTTCTGTGTTTCACAGGCGTTCATCAGGTGCTAAACTGCTCAGGAGATTAATATGGGCTGAGAGCCTCCAGGCAGCACTGAGGAGACACCGAAACACCAAAGCCGCCGCTGCCACCACCAGCTGATGCAAGTTTTATTGAGACAATGTACAAACAGGCCATGGAAACAAGGGTTCTGATGCCGGGACCAGTAACGTAAAATGAATACAAAAATAAAAAGGCACTAATCTGTTAAGAAAAGACACTCAATGTTCTAAGAATATAAGTCATTTAATACTGTTAATTTTATAGCACAAAATAAAACAAGCTATGATCCCCAAAAATAATTTTAAAAGCTTACACAGAAAATATTATTGCCTGAAGTTTATGATCTTTAAGTTACAGGTCAAAAGTTTTGTGTTGTTGTTGTCATTTTAAAACACACAGTGAAGACCGTCTAGAAGCAAGGCCACTGTTCCTCCTGCAGAGACAACGACCCTGTCTCAGGGAACTGTCCTTCTACTCCTTCAGAATATACAACCAGCTCAGTTACCACACTGAGATCAGTTAACCAGGGACTTAGGTCTCTGGTCCCAGAGGGTGGAATTTGAGGCAGAGCTCAGTGGTGTCCACAGAAAGCATTAGTCTTAGGTACTGTGTTAAAACAATCAAAAAGTCACTCATTTTAAGAGGTTAATGAACATAATATTAAAGGATTAAATTATAAACACCTGGCAAAAAAACATATCATCCCTTTTCAAAAATAAAATGGTCATATTCCTCTGAGCAAACATTACAAGAGCAGTGGCCGTCTGCCTCGGCCTGTCTTGTCTGTAAACAGCTGTAAAAGATAGTTAGCATGGAGCCAGGGATCCTTGAGCTCCAAGGAGGGAGCAGCTGTCTTTCCCCCCTTTCAGTTTTCCAACATGAGCACAGAAGGTGTCCTGTCTAGGTGACCAAAGTTGTCAAATGGCAGCTAGTCAACGTGTGCTCCTCTTTAACGGTGCCATCAGGTGGTACCACGCCATGAAGAAATGACAAGAACAACTCCTGTGTGGGAGGGCCTTCTCAGGATAAACAAGTTTTGAATCAAACTGTCAATGCCCTTCAGTTCGTAATTTGTTCAGTTCCCGAGTGAGTTAATTTAACATCCAAATATCGTCTTAGGTGACACACAGTAGAGCAGAGCAAGGAGCAATAATGAACAATCTTAAAAGGAGACCAACCAAGGAGGGATGGCAGCTCCTCTGGAAGATTTGCTTCGCTTTCTGGAACAGGAAGTCTTTCGCAACCACTGGGGAACCCAGGCATGAAGCTGAGGCAAGGATGCGGTCTTCTGTATATTTAGTGTGATGAAGAGAATTTCCCTGCCTGATGAGAAAACTACTAAGGTCCTAAGTCAAAAAGGTACTACTTTTGGCACGTATCTTGAGAGTTCAGAACTCAAGGCTCACCATATTTCAGGCTCCCAATCTCTTGGGCAACCCTGGAGACGCATACGTGGGCTGAAGTGACAAGCAGACTTATTATGAAGCCAAAGTAGGTTTGTGGGGTGTTCTGATTCTGAAGTGCTCCACATGAGGTGGGTCTTGCTAGCGGCCAGCAGACATGGCTGAAAGGAAAAGTTGCTTTCCAAAATGGCCATATACTTCTTATGCTCTGAACCAACAATAGTTGGCAAAGGCACCAAAAGGTGCCAAGTCCCTCAGCTAAATTTGGCTAAAAAAAGCCTTAAGGTTTGTGCCCTCTTTGAACAAGGCACACATAATGCTGACAACCCCCTTAGAACTGGGTCACTGGTTGCAAGGCAAGTACCACGTCCAGGCAGAGAGCGGGAACGCTGCCACACACGTGCCACTTTCTGTGGGAGCTAGGCTGGGCCTGAACTCAGAGTTAAGAGGCAACAACGAAGGACAGGCACCTTTAGAGCAGGAGGTGGCCGTAGTTCTCACTGATTAGGGAAAGAAGATTGCCTTTTTGCTAGGAAGACCACAGAAGGGTAGCCAGTGATTTTTTCCCAACTAATCATTAACTTTAGCACAGGAACACTTTCAAGATTCTTCAATATGACAGTTACCCACCTAATGGATTACGGATTTAAAGAGACTGAAAAAATGGTTGTTTTGCTAGTTCTGTCACCAGAATATATCGATCTAGCCCTCCAAACCTAAGACCCTTGAAATATAGGGCCATGGCTACAGCAGATGCTCAACAAATGATGTAGTTACTCATTAGGTGGCTGCTACACTTCTAGGTCTTCTGTATTCATTGAGCTGAGGCCTGTCTTCACCAGTTTCCAGAAGGGAGAGCAGACTGAGCTGCACGAAGGTTCCAGAATCCTAATCTGCTATGCGCACCAGTCGAGGGATCAGCCGCACATCTGTACCAAGCAGGCTTGTATGAACAGCCCTTTTTTTAGCTAACAAGGAAACATGAACATCAAATTGCTAAATGGTTAATAGTTTTCCCTAGTCACTAAAATCTTAGATATCAAATGCATTAACCAATTTCCAGAGCTTGCATTTTCTTTGCCTGAGAGCATCAGGGACATACAGACTGGGGAATCAGTATTAGCAGCACCATCTTTCTCTGGCAGCCTTGTGAGCTTAGGCTGTGGCAGCAGATGAGTGAGCCTCAGTGAGTAGAATTTAAGATTCATTAATTATTTCAATGATTCTATGAACAACTTCACTTTTTAAAGAAACTTAGTTCCTATACCTTAAAGGGGTGTATTCACTGAAACACTGGACAGAAAATTGGCAAAGTGTGCCCCCACAAGGCTCTTGTCACTGTCAAACAAGGTAAGCAAAGGTTTCCCTAAATCACCCTTTACTCTGATGCTTCTGGGGACAATGTAATCCTAGAGGCCATGCACACAAGCTTGGCATACTACGACTGATTTTTTTGTGGGTTGTTTGTAATATGGCAAAACAAGGTACAACTGGCAACCAAGACAATAATGGCCTCTGCTTCAGTTGTTTTTTCCCTTTAATTACAGCAGCTTCAGTTTGGAAGCTCAGAGGCATGGGTCATTCCTTACAATACCACAAAGATCCAACCCTCTAGTTAAAAAACCTGTTCAGAACACACAAGTCTAATTAAGTCTTCCAAAACCAAACCAAAAGTAAAAAAGGAGAGCCAGATTTGGGGAGTTAAGGACAGAATTCCCTCTTCTTTAAGGTTCACTTGCTCTATTCTTCAGGAAAAACATAATGGTGACTGAGCCACCACTGCTTTGTGGAACAGCAATGTGCAATGTCTCGTCATGGCCTCAAGCTCCATCTGTGAACATGACAGAATCAGTCACAAGTACAAACAGGGCAGTGATGAGAAGACAGACCCTTTTCTCGTCAACTTCTCTCCACTTGTGTGCTTCCACCAGTATTTCCAGTTTATGATCCAAAAGAACTCTAAAATCGGCTACTCTTTGACAACACGACTATGATACAAATGCCGAGGCAGCCACTGTGTGCATTCCAAATGGGTATGAGAGACCGCCACTCTGCAGAAAGCTGGACATCGGCAATGCAGTGTAACTTGCCTATGAGAGAGAATGCTTTCCCACTTCAAAGAAGACTATGACAGGCAGAACAATGAAGCAGCAGGAAACAGGCAACGGCAATCACTCGTTTTCATCAGGGTTTTGAGGGTCAATGATTTTGACATGTGTAAAGGGGAAAAGCCCTTTGCGCCCATTCACTTCGCCTTCCCACTGGCCATTTATATTCATTCTTGTGACTTTCACAATGTCACCAACCTGTAAGGATGAAGAAAGAAGACAAAGTCAGCATTTTCTCTGCAAACTAAAGAAAAAGAAAATTTATTTATTTATTTTTGAATATTTATTTTTTTGAGAGAGAGCAAGCGTGAGCAAGGGAGGGGCAGAGAGAGGGAGTAGAGAATCCCAAGCAAGCTCTCTACCATCAGCACAGAGCTGGCTCGATCCTGTGAACTAATGAGAGCATGACCTGAGCCAAAATCAAGAGGCGGACCCTCAACCGACTGAGCCACCCAGGCACCCCAAAAGAAGTTTACTTTCTTTTAAATTGGAAAAAAATAATATATATATATATATATATATTTAACGTTTTACTTATTTCTGAGAGAGAGAGAGAGACAGCGTGAGCAGGGAAGGGTCAGAGAAAGAGGGAGATACAGAATCCGAAACAGGCTCCAGGCTCTGAGCTGGCTGTCAGCGCAGAGCCCAATATGGGGCTTGAACCCACCAACCATAAAATCACGACCTGAGCCATGATACTTAACCAGCTGAGCCACCCAGGTGTCCCTTTAAGGCCTATTTTAAACTTCAGGGTGGTATCTACTGTCAGAGGACAGGCACCAGTTAGGGGCAGCTCTACTCATCAAGGGGAACTCAGCAATTTTGTTTTCGAAGTGGTTTTCAAATTGTTCTGGAGACCCACAAAGCTCTAGGGAGGTGTTTTAAGGGCCCAACAAATGTCTGACTGGGATTTCAACTTTTTAAAACCGTATTTTATACAGTTATAAAAGAAAAAAGTACACTGAAATGTGCCACTGCTAAATTAACCTGTGCTGCCCTGCTAGCTGCTTTTCATGCAAACCTTCCTTGGAATGAAGCTTCTTTTGCCTTGTGTCTGACTGAGGACTCCCCCAAATGGCAAGGTAAAGGCTATAAGATATACATCACTATTTGTAACAAAACACATTCAGAAACTGGATGCTAAGGTGGATGAGACTGCATTGGTCATTCATGTTATTTCCAATTTTTTCCTGACCACTGTAATAGTCAACTGTCCCAATTGCCTTTTTGGCTAATTCTTATAAATCTCAACTTAAAAACAAAATATTTATACTTAAAAAATTTTAAATCTGATATATTGTGGGGTTCCGTGCAATATTTCTTTGGAAAAAAAGGGTCTTCTGCTAAAGCTACTGGTCCAGCAAGCTGACTGCTGGCCTGGAAATGATCAAAGATCCCAGAGATGGCAAAGCAGCTTTAGCAGTCCACATGCACACAGATCTGGGTCATTAAGGCTGCCTCCAAAGCCCTGGAGCTCAGAGGCTCTGGGTGGAGCCACATCTGCCTCTCTTGGGTTACTAGGTAGGTCACTACCTTCTGAGGAAAAGGAGGGATGTTTTCTGAAGCAAACCCAGAGAAGGAAAGTAGTCTTTGAAATGGTCACTTGAATTAGTTTATAAGATGACTAGGTGCCAGTGTGTCTCAATCAGTTCAGCATCTGACTCTTGATTTCAGCTCAGGTCATGATCCCAGGGTCATGGGACTGA